TTTGGTGTGTTTCCTGGAGAAGATGCCAGTGACTTTGCTTTTCACACTGTCGCAGACTCAATATTTGAAATGCATCAGAACAGCAACACAGAGAATAGCAGGTAGAACTTTTTCAACTGAGATTGCAGTTAAATACTTTAAAGAAGTACAGAGGATGAAACTATAACTTTGACAGTACTCAATGGGAAAAAAATTGCAATGTGTATTTTCAGGCTGAGTTGATTGATAATTTTGTAAATAATTAATAGCAGCCTAAAGGAACATCTTGTAAGTATGGATTTAAGCACTATGTCTGCTAGGTCGCTCTGTATTTTTCCCTTTTTCTCTCATCTCTGAGTGCAGCCAGTCTCATGGGCTGCTTTGCTGACCGTGTTCCTCATTTTCCATAAGGCAAGGCTCCTAATATGGTACAGAAGAGGCAGTGCTGCAAGCAAGGCAAAGTTTAAGCTGCTCGAGAAAGGTTGTACTAGTTGCTCATTTTTACACCCTCAAAATACACCTCAGTGTCTTCTATAATTTGACGTCAGAATTAACTCTCTACTTTGGGATTTAAGCCCCTCTCACTATTAGAGTGAAGCCAAAAGTTTATCCATGGTTTATGCACAGCTATTCCCTGCAAATTTCTCACATCTTGAACAAGATGGGCACCATGGTCCTGCAAGACATGTTAAATGAAGTCCTAAGAGAGCTTCTTACACAAATTGGCACACTTGAGATCAACACTATGAAGGGGTACAGAATGAGGAGAGAGCCCAATTGTGAGCTTAGAAAATCACTGCAGTTAATATATACAAGTAGGCGAAATATCAGTTGTGCTCAGTTGCATTTTCAGGTACCACATAAGTTGTCACATGAGGTATTACCACAATCAGCAATCAGCCACAACCATCTCATGATCCATTTGTCACAAATTGCTTGCTTCCTACCAGTGCTTCTTCAATAGGAAGCATATTTAGCTGATTAGTATGTGTTATTTTGTTACTATTTTCTGTTGTGTATGTTTGCCTGTTGTGCATGTGGAAAAGTGACAGCACCAAGGGAGTAACAAAAAGCAAAAAAAAAAAAAAATGTAGCTGAGTAAAAGGAAAACTAATCACAACAGAGCTCATTTTATATATCCAAATTGGCTACATCAAACACATCATCTACAGTTTAATGGAAGAAAAGATCTTAATGTGAGAGTACGCTAATTATTTTATTACAGAAGACAGATCAGCAGCAAGGGATGACAGAGGGCATATCTTAGCTCATAAGCACTTTATGACCTAATGGATCCAGTTATATGAGACCTTACTATTTGTACACCTCCCACAACCTATTAGACTCAGAATTAAGTCTAAGCATGCCTATCCATGTCTGATGATTCAAACTGGGGAAAGAGCATTCTAACTGTCAAATGAGGTAGTAGTGAATTTGTAAATAATTAAGGGTTGTTGCATTCAGTGCTGCTTTGACCAACTACCTTCCTGTATTTCAAGTCTCTTATTTTTGATATGTTAATATAGTAGATTATAGGAACATGGCATAAAGGAAATTATTTAGAAAATTTGGAATTATTAAATCAGTTTTGGTGGATATTTCCTACAGATCACCTGAAGAAATACAAAATTATCAGCAACAGTAATCCCTCAACTGTTCATGTTTGATAAGAATTTATTGTACTGATGTGAAAGAGAATTAATTTCCAAATTTTGAATAACTAAGAATGCATTCATCCATCCAGTATGGACTCTTCACAGGCATATGTTGTTGATCAATGATTTTTGTGAAATCAATGATTTTATGAAGGAAAAGCATTTACCTTGTCCTGGTCATGAAGCTAAGCATGGGGCACACGTGAATGTTAATTTCTTAAAAATAAAGATAATCCTCACTGTTTTGGCGTGGTTAGTCACACAAAAATTCCCTAACTATATCAAATCTTGAACAAGGCTGCAGGTCATGGCTAAAGTAATTGAACTAGCTAATGTTCCCTATAGGGGACAATCTTTAAATTTAGTTCCTCTCAAGGCTGCTGAATGAGGCAAGCAATTGCTTTACATTTCAGTTTTATTTAGAATGTATGTACACGCTTGGTTTGGTTTATTTAGTATTGAAATTGATTGGTTTCACCTCTAGGTCTGAATCATCAAGTTGTGAACCCTTCATGGTCAATTCACCCACACTAGCCAGTGAGAATTAAGTATAAATAAAGTAGCACTTGATTTTTGAGCAATGATCAAAATCAGTCAAGCAAGCTAAGGCAGGAGACTCCAAGTCTCAGCTTTTGTTTGTTTGTTTGTTTGTTTGGGTTTTTTCTTTTCTTTTTTTTTTTTTTTTACAGATAGATTGCATTTTTTTTTCTTTTTTTTCAGCATTCTTCAGAGTTAAATACTCATCTGTTTCAGATGGCCAAAATTGGTCTCCTTTAATATCACCAATTCTTTGGAGCTGTATAGGCAAATCTGAGAATCAGAGAAACTGAAAGCAATGTAGGACCTACAAGAAGTGTGCCTCTAACAGCAAAATACTTAATTAGATTTCTAAGGAGCTGTTAAGAAAAGTGTTCAAGCAAACTGTAAGTTTAGAGTTCTCTTACTCATTAATAACCTTCTCACTAATAATTTAGCAAGAAGTAAAAGAAGGATATGAATTCATGCACAGTTGGTTGGTCTCTTCACAGCACTGAGGAACAGAAACAGGAGGAAAATAACAGAAGGGAGCCACTGTGTTCCAAAAGGAGGGATTTCTGCATTTCTGAATATTCTAAACCTAGTATCTATGTAAGAGGAAAGCAGTATTTGAGCAGATCTTGTCTATACTGTTACCAAATAGCAATGGCTATTAGCATTGGTGGATTTTAGGATTATGTAAAAAATTGTACACAGTATCACTGCCAAGCAACTAAAACCGAACTCCCAATCTCCATCGAGTACCATGTCTGATACTATTTTGAAATCTGATTGTTCTGATACAATCTGTGACTCTACTATCTAGAATCAAGAAAGCAGTATTTTCTACACTAACAATATCAGTAGGCACGCTATAATCATATTTAGCATTGTTTGTAAATCACTGCAGTAATATTTGGGCACAAAAAATGCCTGGATTTTAGTGTCCCTGGAGGAGAGAGAGGCAATCTATCACTCCCCACCTCCTGACAACAGGCAGCTGTTTAATGGCTGAACATGTCACCTGCTGGTTCAGATGAGCACCTCTGGTCACCTGCTGCTTCCAGGTGAGCAATACTATTTCCTGCAGCCTTTCCCTTAGGACCATCATCACCCTCTCTCCTTTCTGACCCGCTCTGCCTTCCCCCAAGTGACGTGATTAGCCATCCCATCGGTGCCATCCTGACACACCTGATAATGGTGGCAGCCTCATGAGAAGGACAGACAGAAAGGACCTCAGGGTGACCTCACGACTTTCAAGATGCCCTCTACTTGGGTAACCATTCCCATGGAAATCTTTTTTTGGAGCAAACCTCTGTGCATGCCATAATGGTTCAGTTGGATTCTCAACATGCTACTCATAAAATAATGATCGTAAACGTTGAGAATAGCAGTAATTTGAAACTAAATATGCAGTTATATTTATGTCCTAATATCTCTTACAATATCTCTTTAAAGTCTCATATTAAAAAATCTTATTTCTCTGGGCACTGCTTTAATGTGATCACTGCAATGTTACATTTTCCCAAATGCTATTTTTCACCAAGTTTTCTAAGGAGAAAGATTGTTATTTCTTTAAAATAACAGGAACATTATGACACAGCAGGGTAAAAACAGGAAAAAATCTGATCATTTTCCCTTCTAAATGGCAAATTTATGTTGTTCATAAAAATAAATTAATGCTGTAGTGCATATTGGGGCAATTCATTCTGATTACATGCCATTGCTCTAACGATCCGTGGTCCATAGCACTTCTGTGCTTAGAGAATCTTTTTGCATTGGATTTTTATTTTCCTTTGTTCTTCTTTTATGTTTCTGTGCAATAAATTCAAGCCGATATTCTTTTACTCAGCCTAACTCCTCTGCCCCTCTTCATGATAAAAAAGGCCTTGTGTCAATAGACACAATTGGCACTTCAGGTGACTACTATGTGACACAAATATCTTTCTCTTATTGTAGCCAGGTTTTTGTATTGCCACTTATTTTCACAGCCGAAGTTTCATTGTTACTGCCTAATGGATCCTCACTGACTCAGGCTTTTCAAAGAGAATTAGATGATAAGTTCATAGATGGAGATGACCATTAATTTAAAAGGTTCAGAACTTAGGACAACAGAGGTTTATAGGCCTTGTTTGAAATCAAACAAAAATAATCCTGCAATCTGCAGTGAATGGCTGAATATTTTCTTTTAAGAAAAAAAAAAAATAATAAAAAGAAGAGAAAGAAAAAAGGTGAGGTATGTGGTACTTGTCATAGACCAGTGGCTCAAACCATAGGTGTCTGGTGCTGTCTGCAATGCCCAAGGATCCTTGCCTGGTCTCCAGCTGCCTCTCTGCAGGAGCACAGATTTTCCCCCATGCAGTATGTGCTTGGTCATTGCAAGCATCATTGGGCACATTTGTGTTGTCATGTGCATGGAACCATTAACGAGTCAGTTCTGAACTGCAGAAGTAAAATGAAGATCAAATCTTTTAAGTTTAATATTTGAAAGGAGCTTTTTAAAAATACTGACCTACTTGTCCACCATTGTAATAAATTTCTTTGCAGTTTGTATGTACAAATAAAAGTCCTGTATTCATTAAAACTGCAGCTTGTGCTCATGAAGCAAAAAGCTTGCACTGGCTTCAATAGTTATAGTAAGTAAATACATTCTGCTGGAGGGCAGGGGTGGGTTCCTTCATGCTTTAGGTTTGAAAGAATGCAGAGTTCTAAAGGTTATTTTATCTTTTAAATACAGGGTGCAGTTTAAGGTCCTCTGGAGTCCCTGGAAAGCCGTCCTTTGACAAAGAAAATTTCTGGCTCAACCTGCTCTCCTTAGAGCCATGAAAAAAACCCGTCTCTTCCACTCACCTGCTTATTTCAACTACTGTTCAGCTTTGGGGACAAACTTCAGCTCACTCTTAATGTTCTGAATCTCTGATAAGTTGACAGCAGGGCCTGGAAGTTTCTTAGCTCCTGGGAGATGTTTCTTGTCTTTCTCCTCCTCTGTGGAAGCAGGAACACTCTGCACAAAATGAAACCAGTCACCTAACTGCTACTATAGAAATCTCCTGAGCATGAACATAGGTTGCTTACTTGGGAAACATAAAAGGATTTTTTTTTCATATTAAATGAAGTCACAAACACAAAGGTGCAACATGAGGAGAATGGGTGGACTGTCTTGTTGGTTGTTGCCTTCAAGTGTCCAAGTACATTCTGAAAGGAAAACTACTCAGTGCAGAAAAGTGTGGATCTTTTTAATGGTAGAAATTTAAAGTGTCATACAATTAGTAGGGAGTTGAGTGTAGTATTAAAAACAACTTTCAGGTCTGTTATTTTAAGGGATAAAAAAGCAGAGAGATCAATTAATATCTTACATAGTTGTTGAGTCTCATAGTTGTTGGCCAGTTGTTGGCCAGTTATGGAGGAAAAATATCATGCAACTGCAACTTGGCAAACTAGTTACCATGTAACCATGTAGATTATGGACATCAGAATCTCCATCCAAGTTCAGCTTGAAATTATGTTTAATTTTTTCTTAACCTCAGTCATAAGACCAGAAGGAGTTTTGTTATTTAACATTTGATTTAGGGTAGTGTTGAAGGGCAGTTCTGCTGACACTGGAAAAATATGCAGGCTAAATAATAGCTGTTATATAGTTGAGATCATCTCAACTAGTCTTCTGATGGGCCACAGTATTTCACTGTTGGTACTTGCTGAATTGTGCTGTAGCTCCAGGGTGAGGTAGAGAACGTATTTCAGACCATTTCTATTTTAGACAGAGCAATGTTTTGAAGGTATAGTTTTCCAGTAAGGAGTTTAAGGTTTATCTAGTCTGTTCCATATTTTTAAAAGGAATACATGCAACATTAAAAGAGAGTTTCATAGTTTTCTTGCACAGTTTGGTAATCTGAATATCCAGGAAAATAAATCAACCTAAAAACCCCATTGTTCTCATTAATGCACAGCAGATTCCCAATCAAAATACCGTTTCAAGCACTATTCCTTCAATGCAGTACAAATGGTGTGATCTTTGCCCATATTTTGGAGACCTTACACTCTATAAACTCATGCTAGCGTTTTGCTCTAATCTCCGATCTGCGGGAATTAAGACCATGCCCCTGTATATGCTTCCCACTGCAGCTGCACAGCAATGTGCAGCTGGGCTCAGAACTTGGCCTTCAGTTGCATTGCAGGAAATCTGAAGAATGACTTAGATATATGGCACAAATAAGCAAACACATACAAGGAAATGCTGTATTTCCCTCATTTTCTTTGTCAAGATTTTAAAATGTACTGAAAAAATACTAAGGAATATTAGCAAGGTATGCTTGTTAAAAACCTATCTAAAGAACTATTGAAAAAAAATGTAACAAGATAAGCTGAATGGAGAAGTCTGCTGGTAGCATTTGTATTCTATTTCTTTTTTAAGATCTTAGTCTGTAATCTTGTTTGGTTTGGTCTTGTTTGGTTGAATATTGGCTATCAAATCCAGGAAATTTTATTCCATAATGTCTGTCTGATATAAAGTATTCACACAATTGAAAAGCAAGGCAATATTCAATTGCCCAACCAAATCTGATTATCAGCACTAGTCATTTATTTTATTTCTCAAATACTACCAGACCTCACACATGCCGTATTAGTTTCTGCTTAATAATTTTAATTACTGCAGAATATGTTTTGATATCTTTCCGGGAGAAAAGCCACAATATGTGTTGAAGATCACTTTGTACACTCTTTCTTCAAAATATATCTTCTTAAGAAAATAGTTAAATCTGTCTGGTTTTGATTTCTCTAGAAAATTTCTCTGTAAACAGAGTACTATTTATAAGAAGTACATTCAAATTCAGAAAAAGAAATCTGTCTTATTTAGACAGCAAAGGAAGAAATAGCTATTGTGTAATGAAGATGGCACATATTAAGTGTTGTAACAGGTGGGAAGAAGCCGATGATTTGTCCAGAATTAATCTGGCTCTTGCTAAGATGAGGATGAATCACCAGCACAGTTGTTCCATGCCTGGAGTGGAGAGACTAATTACAACCCCTCCCTTTAATGGTCTTTGGGGCTCTGCTCTGTGCTGGGGTCAGCCTCCCTCCAAGCCAGACTCTTCAGCTTCATGTGCAGGGCTGTGAGGCCACAGGGCCAGCCTGGCTGCATGGGCCAGGCTGAATGCTCCTTGCTCTTGGCTTCAGGAGAAGCATGTGGAGATGTGCAAGGCAGCCTGGGCCCAGCAGGAGCTCTTCTCGGCTCGGTGTTATAATAGGTGCCCAAACTAAGGTAACTGTGAGTAACTAAGCTACTCTGAGCCCCCATGCTAATTTGTGGATGTATTTTAGCTGGAGTATCCTCCTAGCTTGTTTCTCCGCAGCTGGTTTTGATTCTTATTTATTATAAAGTTCATGGTGAATAAGATGCTTTAACATCATTCAGAATGTTGTTAACCTGTAACAACAAACTACGCGGGGCAGTAGGCAGTGAATAATTCTTCAAACATCTTGCTGTATCTTCTGTTATTTCATTAACTCCAGTCTAGATAGATATTGTTGGTTTAAGCCTGGCTTTCCTTGCTCACAGTAGTCATCATCCTGTTATTAGAGCTAAGCATCCTAGAAATGGTTTAAATTGCTATACATGTCCTGACTTCAGAAGCAGAACTATGTATACACCAAGTGTATATACAAAGTGTTTTGTAGGTGGCTAGTTATTTCCATGAGTCATCTGGGCAGGAATAGCTGTGATGCTTAGGACTGGTAAATCGTGCTATAAGATTGATTTAAATGGCTTTCATATGTAAACTTCAGGGATTCTCCACCCCTCCAAAGAAATAAAAAATGTGTTTTCTTACCTCTTCCACCTCAGGTGTAAATTCTTTTCTTTTATGAGGGTGACCTGCACCAGGTCGAAACGCTCCCATTGGGATGTTAATATTAGCCTGTGAGGAGGAAATTATGATACATATAAGAGTGACTGATAAATAAATGCAGAGCTGGTAATTGACAAAACCTTTTAAGGGATGCACCAAGAGTACAGACATTATCATAGTTTCCGAGTACTTACGCCTTCAATGTATGCATCATCACAACACTCCCAGGGGAAAGGGAAGTGCTTTCAATTCCCCTTTAAAGATGCCAAGTGAAAAAAAAAACCAAAGCTACCTAGAAAGTTCTTTAAGTTCTGCATTTTAGTCTAATGTTTCCTGACTTCATTGGACATTAAATAAGCGAATTCTAGGCAGCAAAGTGTCTTTAGGGATCCAGATGTTATTTCATCTAGTCAAGGCCAAAGAGAAAGCAAATAGCAGAATGGGGACCGAAGTATAAATCACCCAAGTCCCTCAGTAACACCAACACCACTGGAACACTCTTCCTCACCAGTGACACCAATTGGCACTTCATTTAACATTAGAAGTAGTTAGGAATTAAAGTTGTATTGAGGCATCTTAAGCCAGTGGGGTTTAAAATATGATTTCATGGGCAAAATTCACTCCCAGGGGCTACAAAGTACAATTGCTCTGTTCTAGCAATGCAGGTCTCCCCTACAGAGAGGATCCCTCGGTGGGAAAAGGCAGCTCCAGCTGGGTTTTGCCCAGCTTCCTCTGCCTCATCTGCACAGGAGTCACTAGTCAAAGCAAGCTGAGCCTGCTCAGAAACTTGACAGATGATTAGTGCTCCGAGGGGTAACAAACACACTTTCTGCAGAATGGTGCCTGTAGAACTGAATGGGTTTGATTTCCTGGCTTTGTGGGAGATCAGCCAGGCAGCCGCCAGAGCTAGAATGAGTTTCAAAAGAGGCATCTCCAAAGTAAATATTTTTGACAAAAAGAGTAACAGAAAAACACAACTTACAAAAGAGCAGTTAAAATATCTATTTCCTGCTGTGACCTAGACTGGGATATTTTAAAAGTCAAATGGCACAATCAGCTAAATGCACAATTTATACTATTCTTATCTCGTGATCTCAGAAGAGAAGCTGCTCCTAGGAAATGTCATCAAAATATCATGACTCCCACTTGTAAAACCAGCGGGTGAATTGATGATGTTACTGAGTGGAAATAGAGAAATTTCAAACAGTGAGCTGTTTTATTGTAGTTTGCCATCTGACTGATTTGCGTAAAATGAAGATGAATAATTCCATCCTTCTGTTTAGATCATGGTCCTGCAGTTCATGTGCCACGTTGAGCAACCACGATAAAAACAGCTCCTGTTTTTACTAACAACAAATACCCTGAAAGCTGTAATCAAACACTTAACAAAATCAAGAAACTATTTGCTGATAAATAGACACTTTTCCTTTTATCCTTTCCCCCCTCCCGATATTAATGCAAGGTAATGTAGCCATATCAGCGGGCCTGGCTATTATCTGTCAGACCAAGTATTTTACAGAAAACCTAGGTATTAATTTCATATGCTCTTTCACTGTGCATTAGCTTAGGTACTGTGAAACCTTTCATCTGCACTTATTGAATTCCCCAGAGATGGGGCATTTTCGGCACCATAGTACTTAACCCATTAGCTCATTTTCCATTGGAAAAAACAGCTTTGCTATTCTTAATTTACCACTCTCACCAGCCAGGCTCTGTGCACTGACTCAGCTATTTTTCCTGGAATAAGAAACTTTTATTCACCTTACAGCAAGCTGTGCAAGCTGTGTAAATTTGAAGACTTGAGACATTAAAGTTAGTCCTGACAGAGATGTCTCTCTTGGTGCTCTTCATGAACAAGGCCTCTCCATCCCCTTGGAGTCAGTAGTAGGAGTCAGTCTCCCACGGCCACCCAAAGCTTGGCAAAAAAACCTAATTCCGAAACCTGTTGCTCGCATTTCCTGCTGTGATTGACAGACCAACTGTGACTGAAAAGGGTCCAACAAACAAAAATTACCCACTAAGTGACAGACTGGTAATTAAATTAAAAAAGCCATTCTTGGTCTGCTTCAGCATTTTCACGGCAATCTCCGTCATGCTAAAGCAGTTTGAAGTATTTTTTCTGCTGTAAGTGGATTTATTCTGCAGTTTGGACAGAGGTATGCAGATACTAAATATTAGCTAAACATTAAGCTTTTAAAATATATAATTTAACACTGTGTAGCTCTGATAAAACATACTACATGATAAAATATTTCTTGTATGAGATAAAACTATGACTAATTTCCTAATAGTTCCCACCAAAAATAATAGTCTTGAGCTCTAACTCTCCCTCTTAATCCGGTGCTCTTCCTTCCACACAGAGAAGTAGCCATGTCATGGTGATTACTGCACCAAACCCTGCAGGAGAATGCAGCTTTGTGAAGCCCGCCTTGTGCTGAGATCAGTACAAACGTTCAGCTCTGTCTTTAAAATCCTCGTTGTCATTTTCTTCACCTCTCTGCTAGGATGGAGGTACAAATCCCAGTGACCGCTCTCTCCTTCCCAACCCAGCCTAATGCTAAATAGGATATTTTTTCCTTTGGTCCAGACTTCTGAAGCTGTAAATTATAGTTGCTTTACACCTACAGATTTTGTAAAGTTTTTTTTTTTGTTTTAATTATTAATAGTCATTAATTATTAATATTATTGGTTTTGCATCTTCCTTCAGTTTTTGGATAGCATCTATCACATTTTGGATGTCCCTGCAGTTTTTATGAGTGGAAATGATTATTTTTGTACTAAGATCTTCCTGAATGGATCGAAGGAAAAATACTTGTCAGTGTGAAATGCTATATATATATTTATATATTTATATATTTATATATTTATATTTTTATATTTTTACATATTTACATATTTACATATTTATTTATATATATATTTTTATATATATATTTTATATATATATATATATATAGGTGGCTTGACTCCATAAAGGGGTATTTAAGGATATGTGTACGTTCTTTCTTCTGTTTAACAGAGACATGGTACCTATAATAGGTACTTATATTAGGAACACTGCACCCTATATTACCAGCAGCTATGCATAACTTTAGGACTCCTCCTTCATGGCATCACAGCCATTCCTAACCCTCCAGAAGGCAGACTGAGGAGGGGGAAAGCTATCTGAGCTATATGCCCAAAGTATGGAAAACAGTGACCTACAGAGTGTTGTGAATACAATTCAGAGAAAGCAAAGTAGCCCTTCACCCTTTCTTGTGGGGGAAAAATGAGCGGTGTCTGTAGGGAGAACAACTGTCAGCTAGAGCTAAACACACCTTTAACTTCCTGATGGAAAGAAGGCTCTGGTGTTGTGTGAGCAGCAATTAATATTATCAAGACTTAAGGCTACTTTGGTCATTTGTCAACCAGAAGCCACTCCTGGGCTCCAGTCATTCCATGTTTGTACCTAGTGCCTGTTGGCATGGAAGATTTCAGTGTGTATCTCCTGGGGTCAGAAGGAAGCCACTTCTGACACAGAAGCCCCCAGAGATGCCTCAGTCAATGAGGATTCATTGTATTTCCATTGTTGTGGCACGATGTGTATTACCCACGGCGGGGTAGCAGGTCCTCCTGCAATAACACATTATGGCAAAGGAGCATAATATATGAATCATGAGGTACAAAAGCAATCTGACATTTTGAGTCGTGGTTCGGAGAATGCTTAAAGTATAATAGGCATTTATTCAAGCGCAACTTTCCCTGCTGGAGCAACCTCTGACAAAGAGTTTAACAGATTTATTTTAAAGTATGTGAAGTATTTTGTTTTCCAATGAAAAAAAAACTCATTGGAAAGAAATAAGGGTTTTTTTAATAGTAAACAATGCTTAAGCTTAATGCTTAAAGATCATATTTTTAATGGAGAAACTTTAGAAGTTGGAAAGTCATCAGAAATCTGAAAAAGGAGTCAATAATATCTGTTTCTTTGCTCTATGGAAAAAAAATAAACCAAATTCTTTCCTTAAAAAATGGTTGTATAAGTCCATGAACATTAGATGTAAACTGTAAATATTTATGCATTATAAGTTATCTAAATTTTCACTAGGCATACAAATATTTCCGAAGTCAGTGTATAAGAGGGATGAAATTTTAAACTGAGGGAAATCAATGGTAAACTTTCATGAAATTTCAAGAAAATTGGAATGCAATAACTTGCATACCTGTTCCAGGACACTGGATGATTAAAACTAGAACTAGCACTTTTACAGTGCAGTGCTGTCTAGTATACTACATAATTAATCTTCTTGATATCCAGATCCATTAAATTGATATTATCTTGAGGGTAAGAGAGGGAAGATCGGACTCCGGAAATTGGGTTTTGTGGTTCCTACATAATTTCAAAGGGACTTGCACCCTGGTAAAATTGGATTGCAGGGAAAATTGTGCAATTGTTCTTTTTACAAATGTATAACAAATCCATATGGGCACACACACACCATTTGAGGAAACATACTGGTTTTTTTTAATCAAAATAGCAACATTTTATTTTGGCTATATTTTTCTTCCAAAAGAGATGCAAACATGAAAAATCTTAATAGGTATGCCATCCTTTTAGCTTAAAGTTCCAGGAAAATTATATTAATTATATAGAAAGTCCAATAGTTGCAAGAATAAGTTTCACATAATAAGTTATAATGCTGCCTAGCTATGCAGATGTATGTTTTATTTAGTTGATCCACAAACAAACATAATTAACATGGGAGAATTATATTAGCAAGCAAGTCATCAAACAACCTAACTGCCCTATTCTTTTCTCAGCTCAGATTATAGGACAGTCTCCAGGTGAACATTTTGGAGCGCTTTCACATTCACCAAGCTTTTTCACTTTAAAGAAACTAGCATTTCTGTGCTGTTTTATGCAAAGAGAATGCAGTTGGTCGAGCAACAGAGGTCGAGGTTCATTATTTTCTTATAGCAGAAACATAAACACTGTGTCTTACCTGAATGGCCTTGACATGTGATGCTGGTTGTTTTGACATTTTTACGAGAGAGTCGTATCCCTGCAAGCAAAATGGGAAAGTGTTACAGGCTATGACATTCTGATAGCTAAGGCAGATAAGCTAGAACTTAACCCATGCCGCTTCTTGACAGGCTTCCATTTCACCTGCCTGTCTCCTGTTGCCATCTCAGTTTCAGAGTTGCTTAGTTATTCCTCCCAAAGACCTGTTGGGGACAGAACACCTGAGCTTCCCCCATTAATCTTTCATAGCCACAAATGGAGCTATGCCTCTCACATTAAAAACAATAATGGGTAAAGATAAGGAATCCTTCAAATATTAATAGCATTGCCAAATGAGCGAGAATTCAAGGAAACACATGGTCTTAAACAACATACAACTACCTTTGTCATACCACACATTTGAGAATTATTAGAACTCTAAACCTTCTCTCAAAATATTATGATGATTAAGTTCTCCTTGACAGATGCTAGGGCACAAACTAGACTCTCTCCAAAGCTCCATATCATAGATTCATCAATTTTCTTTAGCAGTAAGATATAAAATAAGAATGTATTCCGTAACACTTTATGCAGTTAAAAATACAGACTGCTACAGAATTAATATACAATAACATAGGCAAACACCTCCAAGCCAAAGGATTTCTTAAAAATCAAACAAAAAGCAAATATAAAACTTCATAGTAGCATAATTGAAATATCTCCTTGGCCTTTTACTGTCTTCCCACCAGATTTAAGACTTTAACTAAACTAGCCTTTCACAGAAGTCTGGCTACCTAACCTGTCTCACTATAATGAGAAACAAAATGGTAATAGTAAAGGATAAAAAACAAGTATATGTTCACCAGAGGATGAACTAATGACAATATAGCATATTTTGATTACAACATTTTACCTGAGATGAGAAATATGCCTGAAAACAAAAAGGTGTAGGAGAGAAGAGCAGAAATATACTGAGAAATCACATTTGGACCCAAAGTTTTGTTACAGAAAAGTACACCGCAGCACTGTTAAATAAGAGTAGAGATCCCTTTCTTGTAGGATGGCTTCAGCCTGGAGTATCGGTCTGAAATGATATCGCTCCAGCTGCATTGAAGATGCATCCTTGCCTATTCCAGCTTTACACAAAAGCTTGAAAGCTGCGTATGATGCTGGAGAACTTAAGGCCAAAAGGATCTGCCATTAGAGGTCCCTCTATGCTTGCATCTCAGCTGCAAAGTGTGCTGTTTGAACCACCACAGGGTGAGGCAGAAGTCTCTTCACAGGTGTGCCTTCGGGTCTAAATAGGTTCAGCTAAATCAGTAAATCAGCACAAAATCTCACCATATGAATCCAAATCTACATAGTTACAGGAAATTTTACATTGCAGTAATAACTTAAACAGCTTAAACACTTTGAGAATTCAGTTCTGGAGCTGACATCTTGACCAGTGATATTCATGACAAAACTGATGTGGATTTCAAAAAGGCAAAATTTCAGCCAAGGTATTTATTGAGCTTTCTTTCTTTCAGAAAGTTGCTAATATGCAAAGCAATAAGCATTTTCTCATGATTTCTATATTGTTCATATGCATGCACTGTGCTCTTAGTGGATGTATTGGAAGGTTCAATACAAAACAATCCCCCAGTTCATTGCAGAGATAGGGTTCATAACAGAAAAGTTTAATTTTGTTCCTTCTTTTTAATCAGATTTTATGATTCCATTCATCTTCCATTCATCTTTTCCTCTTTCTAATCAGAATGAAAAAGATGAAAAAAAACCACAGGAAATGACCATAAAGCTTTATAAAACGCAGTGGTTCTGCTTTATAAACTCTGTCACAGAGAAATTTAAGCTAAGATTTCTACTATGTGCTTAGGTGTACTCCTCCATCTCCTGTGTTTACGCATTTCAGAAAACTGATATATGCTTCCTTTGCCACTTATAGCTGTATGGGCAAGGATTTACACTGCATCTCTCTGCTTCAAAGCAAGCACAGCGCTGTCGTTCCTCAGTGAGCTGCGCAGAGCTCGCACGAAGGCTGTATTTGAAATGATTGCAATCAGACACTGATTCCTAAAGACAGATGTATGATACAATTGTGTAGGACTCCTTTAGGAGGAGGTGATTTTCCTACCGGTTCATGCTGTCCTCATTACTGCCACAGAAATCAGGACAACAGCACGCTACTGAGTAAAAATAGACAATCTTCCCTGGCTCTGTTCCCTTCTCTCCATTTCCTGAGTTTCCCTCTAGAACAGCACTGCCCATCAATCATAGGAAAATAAACCTTAGATTACTGGTGTACCTATTACTTCACTTTTATAAATACCTTTTCTCTTTCACCACGTCTGAGAGGGAGCCAAGAGCACTACCTGCTTACATTAGTTCTGGCATCCCAAACAGCTCTGCAGACTTGAAGAAGTTACTCCTCACTTTAACCTCCACCTCAGGATTTCACACGTACACCCTTGCAGAAACGCACACATGCACAGCCTTATTCCCCAGGGTCTTTTTGGCCTCCCCACACCTACCTCTTACCTTTTATGGTCTGCATGCAGAGCCAAACTTAGAAAGCAATGGCAACGCTATGTCAGTTTGGAGCTGTTTAACGCTGGACTTGCAATGCAAATGCACCCGCTTTCCCTACTTCATAGTGGGAATACTCATGAACAGGACTACTTGACAGATTGAAAGAAATCAGTGTTTTGAGAAGAGCCCTCAAAAAACAAAGAACCTATCTTCTCTCCCTCTGCTAAAAATAATTTCTGAAAGGGGCGCAGAAAGATAATAAGCTTATTCAATTTGCCTTAAATTCAATGTGATATCACAATACTATCTTTTGTAATCTGTACAAAAGATGTACACTAGTATATAGGCGACAGAAAGAGCCCTCCCCCCAGCTGAAAGCTGTCCTTTCCCCCACTGCTGTACTTATGGCATCAGGCACAGTGGGTATTTTGGACAGAGAACTGCAGTGTATTATCTCATGAAAAGGCTTTGACAGGGACTGCACTTCTGTGAAACCCAGCTATCACACAGAAGGAAGAGAAGACCCCCACTTTGCAGCTTCCAGGCTGACATACAAAAACTTGCTAGATGCTCTAGGCAAGTGTGATATTCTTTGCTAAACTGCAGTTGTCTCCCTTACAGTTACATGTTAGGCTTACAGTAAAAGAGCACCTCTCTCACCACTAAAACCCAAACGCAGTATTTCACTGGCTATAACAGACATACAGAAAACATTAGGCACATATGTAAGCACTACAGTACTCAAGCTAGTACAGTTATGCTTCCTATGAGTCACTAGGCATTTAAGTCGCTTTCTGCTTTAAATCTCTTAAGATCCAAATAGACTTTAAAGCAATAACAATCTGCTGTGAACACACTGATATGCTGCACAAGATGTTAAAATAAGCAGAATCCCATAGCCATCCCAGCCACCTTGCAGCCAGTTATTAAAGAGTTTTCATAAGAATCTTTAAAGTTTGCCATCGACCCCTTCAAGATTAGCTTACTTATTTACTTATATAAGAAAAGTTCCAAACCGTGAAGTGAGTATATACACCTCCTTTTGATGCCGGAAGAGGTACCTTCTTCTATCAGCAGAGATATTGACTGTGATCCTTTTAATGTGTCTGAAATAGCTCCGATGCTTTCAGCCTGGGTGGCACTGAGAGCTGCTCCAGGCTGGAGGGGAACTCAGTTTAGAAGCAAAGTGTAAAAGAGAATTCCTGTCATAGCTTCCACTTGTTCTTCCTAAATATAGCCTCTGATTCGCCCTGTAACTTGGTCCCCTGTGACACTTGACCATCATAAACCCAGGGCTCAAGTGTCAAGCAGTAGGTGCTGCAGGAACACACCTTTGGGTCCACTTCTTGCCCTCCCCTCTCCCTGCAGTTGTGGAGCTTTTCATGAGAGCAAAGCATATACTGGTAGGAGGCAATGCCCAGCAGCCTGGAACTTCTCCTGCATTATTTGGGGCAGAGCATACGTCCCTGCTGCCACGCTGGGAAAGGAAATAATTACGAAGACATAATTATGAAGAACTCACCTCGGCGGGACTAACTGGAGAGGCGAACACGGCACCGAGGCGACTGTCTCATTGCTGGGCTGGCAGTGAGCTCGCTCGGCAGCAGCCCCGGGGTCTTGGCAGGGCGTCCTGCGCGCAGGGCGTCCATGCTCATAGGGAGGAGCCCTGCGAACGTGAGGCCGTAATTGCTATTATTTGAATGCTAGGGAATGTGGGTGAGGACCAGACGAAGATTGTGGTGGGAGTTGCTGTAGTCAACATGGGAACTGAACCATAATTACACAGCTGTGCTGCACACACTCCCTGCGAGGTGTCTCTCTGGGGCTGGCTACCAAAGGAGAGCAGCTAGTCTTGTGCGGGGCACGGCCCGAGGCTGGCCTTGGGAACGGCCTCTGGTCTCCATTCCCAGAAAGGCAGCTGCTAGGTCACTTCGGAGAAGAGTTTTTTACTCTTCAGCCCCTCCTCTGCTGAAGCTGTTTTTACCTCGCCACGATGTTCACGGTGACAGCAGCAGTGTTGTTGGTTGGGTGACACCACACAGGCCGCCTGCTGCACTGCTGGTGGGCAAGGCCTGCCGTTTTAAAATGAACCGTTTTAAAAATCAGTGTCAAAGAGACAAAGATAACAGCTGGGAAAATGATTTCAGGGATGATCTCCCATGACATTGGGAAGAGGAGTGTCCCACCACTCTCTTAATGTCATATACCTCAAGGAGGAAGATCACTTCAGAACAGTGCTCACGGACCTGTGTTTTTCCTAGAATGGGGCAGTTTGACCTGTTAGGGTCTAAGTCATGATTTCCAAAAGATTGGGACTACCTTAAAGCAGAGCAAGCAGTCTGATGAGTAACTTCATATACAACTTTAGAAGGTTCTTATTTACATCAAAAGTATAAGGGGAGAGCCAGAGATGAGATACTTTTGTAACAGTCCTATACATTAATTTATTTCAATTTATATTGCAATAGTTGCTTATCAGTTTTATATCCCAAATCAGCATTTGGGTACAAGAAGCATACACAGTTCTTTCTTCCACATGCAATTAATTTACTAAAGCTTCTGCCCTTCAAACCAGGCCGTTGTTTACACTTATAATCCCATTTTCTTAGAAATTACATTAGTCAAGAAAAAATAAATGTTTGCAATTACTTTGCAGAGAACCAGTGCCCTTGGATAGTTTGGTATGCACAGTCTCATGATCTATAGATTCATCTACTAAATACAACAGCAGATGATTTAATATATAAATAGTGAGACGTGGGCATTTCACGGGAAGGATTCAAACCCTGGTCTGTTAAGAACAGAAAACAATACATTAAAACACATTGCATAAAGTAATGTCTTACATACTGAGATCCTAAGAATATAGTAACATTGTATGTATTTAAAGTAGGAAGATCCCTATATAGCTTGAAATATATTGTTGTTACAGTCCTAGAAGCTTGCCTAATTAACATGGTCCCTAGAACAGCTTATTAGTGTGGAAAATGAAGTTGATGTTCAACAGAAACCTGTGTGTAATTTAATTCTGGACTGAGACTTTTCACTGTATAATGTCAGAATTGTTTCTTAGGTCTGTCACTATTTGATGTTTAAATGTTTTGCTTTTGGAGAACCCTCATGGGCACTGTTACCGCTTTCCAGAAGCTCCCAAAAGACAATTTTTCTATTCTAGCCTCCAGTGTTTCAGTGTAACACAAACAATGTACTGTAATTGAAAAGCAAGCCAACAAAGCAGTAGTCAGAATCTCTGTTTATTGGAAATAAGATTTCTTTAAAATAAAAGGTTAAAAAAACCCAAAGTTATAAAATTAAATTTAAAAAGTACACAAAATGTTGGAAAAACAGCCTTTATTGTCAGAAGAAATGTTGTAAGAGGAAGTATCAAGTAAAACATATGCCTTTTTCTCTATTTCCCACAATCTTTATGAATGCTTGTTAATATGAAGAAAAATGTAAGCACTTTCTCCTGAGTTTCTACTCTGGAGTTTGTACAACTATGGCAACAACAGTGACATCAGGCTATTTAAAAAATGAATGGCAGAAAACAGAATGCTGAAATGTTTGCTATTATCTAATGGAAAGAAAGTCAACAAACATATCTAAATTAGCTGATTTTCTTTCTGCGACACTTCTAAGCTGCTAAATATTAATTCAGCTTTTGCATGCTCTCTTTTTTTTTCCATATAAAAGCTTGGTGATTATTATCACGGATTGTTCCATCAAGAAATAATTAGGCTTGTATTAAGAAGACGGTCTCATTAGAGGCTGCCAGTGACCTTGTTCTAAATTCCAGAGTTGCAGCATCTTTTAATAACTCCACTAGCATCATCTGAGATCTAAGAATTTTTATTAAGCTCTAAAAACTGCATTATGAATATAACCCACACAAACATCAGAGCATTATAGCTTTGACCACTGCATTAACCAAAAGCCATAGTCTCTGCTGCTTTGTAGTCTGTGTGCACAGTAATAATATTATCACTTATCAAAATGTTTTGAGCAACTGAAATGTGATGATGATGCAAAAATAACAAATTTGTTTCCAGTCGTCTTTTGGGAAACTGGAACCACAATACCTGGCAAAGCTGGATGAGCAAAGGTACTGGCAGATTTTGAAGGGAATATGAATTTTAAACAACAACATGCTGATTTTATAAACATCTTGTCTGCTGTAATGTTTCAGCGTTGCTTGGAAAAGAAACAAACAATAATGACATTGCACCATCACATTGTGTTCTGGACAAACAAGTCTGACAATACAGGAATCACCTGAATCACTTGAGAAATTTTGTATAGAAAGGCTGCTCATCATTTTCATAAACCAGGATAATTGAAATAAGCACCTACTGTTTCCATCTTACAACAGACTTCTTTTGCTGAAGGCCATATCCATCAGTTGATTACATCTGTTGTAAAAAAATATTAGTTCTTGTCTTCAGTGATCTGACGAAGGGGCCTCACATTTCACAGAAAGGACTTTTGCTGTGGGACCCATATATATGACCCATATATATGTAAGAACTAGGTACTGGGGGCTTAGTGCTGGGGGAAAAAAAAATGCTAATTCCTTGGATAAAGCAAGAAAAGAAACTGCAGCTGTGCAGGCATCCATAGTTTCTATCTAGTTGTCATCCATCTGTGGGAAAAGACTAGTTTCTGATGCTTCCTCATCAAAATGGCATGGAATGGAAACTTGACTGAGACATGAAAAATGTGCTTGGTTATAAAGTCTGACCCAAAATGAGGGAAATCAGACTGAAAAACACAGAAGGTTAAAGAAACCATAAAAAAAAAAGAAAGAATTCTTTTAGATTAAAATAAAAAAGGCAAACTCTAGGGCACCAAGATGCTGAATCACACACAACTGACCAGGTGCAGTCTTTGGATGGTGTCTGCTGCAGAGACAGTTAAAAAAAGATAATTAAAAAAAAAGATAAACTATGAGTGTAAAGATATTTAAAGACTGAAATAGTATCAGGAAACTCATTTTCATTCCCTTGAGTCATAAGGAAAAAACAATCCTTTGCCTCTCATATTTCCAGCATTCTAAAAAATGAAACAATTAAGAATGAATGCCTTCTATGGTGACGATATAAATATATCTAGCACTCATATTCATCTATCAAATAGTCAAAAATAGTTTGTATCAAACTTACTTTTATTGAATCACATCTGCCATAGGAACATATTTCAATCATTTTGTGGTCTCCTGCCATATAAATATTGTGCCTATTTTAGAGATAAATTGCTAAAAGAAATCAGTGTTAGCACAGGAAGACAGCACAATTCTCAAGCTGCTAACTTCTAAATGTTGTTTCTCAATACAAAATCAAATCTCAAGTGTTAAAAATAGTATAAACAGTTTACCTTAGGAAATTATACATTTTTTTAATAAGCTTCACATCTTTACACCCACACGAAGTTGGGTAGTAGACTGGCAATATCTGCTGTCCAAAGATAATAAAAAATCTGAAAAAGAAATTATACATATTAAGCTGCTCCACTCAATCATATCAGGCTGTGCCACACCGGGGGTTGTCCTTTGAAGTACAGTTCAGTTCTCAAAAGCTGGAATCAAAAGCAGTGCTTGAAAATCATTTTTCCTGAAAATGACTTTTGAGAACTGCGGGCTGCTCCGTCTGGGTTTCCTGAGCCCATCACCTAGCAGGCAGGTGCCAGAGCATAATCTTCATCCTCTGGTTACATGAAAATGTTCACACCTTTATTGCAGACAGCTTTCATATTGAGGTTTTATTTTTATGAGGCAAAAGGAAATGTTGTTAGCTAAGGTTCCTGACACAAAAAAAATCTGTGCAAGGTAGAGCCCTGGTCTTACTGTGGATAATTTATAGGGGTTCTGACTCCCAGGTGAGTGCAGGGGCTGTACAGGGACATCTGTCAGGATTTCAGCTGCAGATCCACTGCACGCATGGCCAAGCTGTCAAGAAGTGACTGCTTACAGCCCAGTCCTTGAGGCAAAACAAGATCAGTGCAGGTTCACCACTGAACCTGCAGTGAACCAGCGCAGCACAGTGCTGCGCTCTGTGCTGGATGGAGCGAGTCAGGAGCTGCTCCAGCCATCTGTGCCGCCAAGGTGGGCAGGTAGGCTCATAACCAACCTCCTCAGCTGTTCCTCTGCAAGACACATCTACTCGTCACAAGCACTGAGTGCTGTGTACACCCAGATGAACCCAAGTGCTGCAGTCGCTGAACCGTTCTGGTGTCTTTGCAGTGTTGTCCCATTTGACTTACTCAAATTAAGTGCACTTTTATTTCTAGAGTTCAAGTTTCCCTACAGGATCTGAGGCTCAAAGTAGACAGGTCTAACGCTATCATATTTATTAGAGGTTATAGCGAGCATGAAACAATACCCATTATATTTGTACTATTTCGTATTTATTTTGCAGTAGAGGTTAGTGTACCTAGGGACTGCAGGAGAAATTTAAAACACAAGAAAGCACAATAGATGTTTGGCATTAGCTTCCCTGTTGTCCTCTCTTTTGCAGATGGAGCCTGTTTTTTTAAGTTTAGGTAAGTCCATTTTCAAAAAGAGGCTTTTAGTGGTGTAAAAGCATTCCACCAGAGGAGTTTACGTGGCACAGCTATTCTGCATTAGATGTTCTGTGCTTTTTCTCATGTAATGTAAATGATCGTAAAGGATACAAAGCCCAGCAAAGAGAGCAAGCTTCCAGCCTGCCAGGTAAAATGAACACCAGTAGCCTCACAGAACTGCAATCTAGAATATGTGAGCCACATCTGTCTCTGAAGTTTCTTCCTTTCTTTTTATTTCTTTAGAGTCTAATACCCATTTTTCCTTGGAGTTCAACAGCTTTGGTAGGCTGTTTTTTTTTTCTTTTTTTTTTTACATATGATCTCTGTTGTGATGTACCTAACAGAATTAGGACAGATCAGAAAACACTGAAAGGTTAAAGTTATTAAGAAAGACATTTTATTTTATTTTATTTTATTTTATTTTATTTTATTTTATTTTATTTTATCTAGCAGTATCCAATAACAACTTTTGAAAAATAACATACAACTATTCTTTGTAGCACATGAACCTAGTAAAGGTATGTTAGCATGAATGCTTGGAACTCTTTTTTTATTTACAATGTTCATATGAACAGTGACTTAGCAAATTTAATTCATCTCACAAGTCAGTTCCTCTCTCCCTTGCCATGTATTTTTGATGATCAGGTTAACTACTGCAAGCAAATTCTGAAACTTAACACTTTGATCTCAATTGTATTTAAATAGAGCAAAACTGTTTTGCACTGGAATTTGCACTTGCAAACATTAGGGTTTTTGACAGAATTCTGTCAAACCTTTCTAACATTTGGGCTTTTGACAGAATTAAGGATGTTCTTTCTTCTATTTTGCAGTGTATCAAGAAAGTTTATGGTAATATCCAAATAACTATAAATCTATTTCAGTAGCAGATCAGAGCTGAAGAGATTAATTCTCAGATATGTTAATAATTAATCTTAAGACAAATGCATTTGCTGCTGAATTTTCTAGAAAGAGATGTTTAGAATATTAGGCCACCAACTGATTTTTTTAATATCTTAATTCATGCATTATTAACACATGGGTCTATAATTACTTGCCAAATTGCATTTAATTAACAATATTATGCTAGCATTTGAAAATATTAAGAGTATTCTTATTAATAGTATTATTCTTCAGTCTTGAGATTTTACACAGATTTAGGTACCTCTGCACAATGACTGATATATATGTTTTTATAACCATCTTAGATGCTTGCCCTTTTGAAGTCCACCTGTGCTCTTCCATTATCCTACAGCTCAGCTGTGACTCCTGTAACTATAATAGTCAGCCTGCTCTGTAATTATTTATGGACACTGTCTGCTGACCTGATTACTATATGATATTTTGCTTTAGAAACTACTTCAGCTTAACATAAGGCTGTAAGGGAAAACAAACAATATATACAGTGCCTGTAATAGCTCTTGAATTAATGTAGACGTTTAATCTTGGATATTGTAACTTTTAAAATCCTAAATGCATTCTTTTCCATAATGACTGTTCTGTAATGCAATAGTGTCCTTCTATGGCAAGGATCAATTTTGCCTCTCATTAGCAACATCTACTAAAATTTACTAAGAAAAAGGACTGGGGCTAACTGTTCCAGTTCACTTTGAATGTCTGTCTTCTGCAGTCTTAGAGAATTGTTCAAAAACACTGTTAATTCCCTGGATCCCAGCAAGGCACAGCGCTCATTTTACTACACTTCATTTCCACAGGCCTATGCTGCTAGTGAAGGGACTCAAGTTCCTAACTGTTTGAACGAGACTGTCCCCTATTATGGTCAAAGATTAGTGTCAGGATACATTTTGTATTTTTATACTTAATGCTTGTTGCTGCAGAGAAAAATGTGAGTTTTCAACCAATAGAGTGTAGAATTAAACATACTTGCAAGGTTGCTTAATGATTTTCAACTGAATATAGCAGAACAGGAATCACCGTGGAGAAGTCACAGCAAGATGTAATTATTTTGGGTCTCTGATTTTTTTTTTCAGCGGAAAGGAGCCCTGAAATTCAGGGCTGAGACACCATTCCTTCTGGGAAGCACTAGGAGAATTTCCAGCAACAGATCTGGGAAGAGCATGACAATAAAGCATAGCTGGGACAAACAAAGTGTTGAAAAAAACATAAAGAGGACTACAACAATTTAAATTCTAGCAAAAGGAAGGACTGACCTAATTTTGGGGAACCCTGTGCCACATGCTCTAGGTGACCCTGCATGGGCAGGGGGGTTGGACTACATGACCTCTAGAGGTCCCTTCAAACCTTAAGCATCCTATGATTCAAAGGCCACATGTCAGTCTAGGTCTTTAAAAACTGTTTCTATAGTTTTGTGTGTGGAAAAGAGAGACCGTGGTTTTCCAAACATTCCTCCTAGCGGCAGTTTCGGCTTTGCCCAATCACTGCTTTGGGAGAACTGTCTCTGAACCCATTAACTAACATCTAAGAGCTCCTGAAAGGAAGGAATCCACTTTCTTCTAGAATGGAGGAGACCTTCCGAGAAAATTGCTGACAAACTGAGACCAAAAAAGTTGGTCCACAGTGCACAGAGAAAAGGTTGTCTGGAAACCTTAAGTTGCAGAAAGTCTTGCCATTATTGCAAACTGGATTCCCCAAAAAACCTTCACAAGTAATGAGAAGAAACTCAGTCTGTGACCATGAATGTATTGGTTTCAGTTCACACACTTTAAAAAAATACCGCTTTTTTTTGAATTTTACAAAATACGTGTGCTTGTTTGCTGTTCACGTTCAAGCCCTGGGTGACACAGTTTTAACTTGTCAAGGGCCTGAGGGATCAAGTCTTGTGATTAACAACTCCATGGCAACTAAAATATATCGTTGTACTTTTCATATCCAAGCATGTAGCCCTAAGAAGGAGTAAGTAGTGAGCTTTACATCCATTCAAAAGCAATTTTTTATATAACTATATATTTATGTATATATAACTAGATAATTCTAAGTAACTTCAGAAAAAAAATGTGGGCGGAAAAAAAGGACCGACCGCCTCCCGGGCTGCGCACTGCGCATGCGCAGCCCGAGGCGGCTCGCGCGCAGGGAGTCTCCTGGCGCCCCCCGTGCGCATGCGCGGGGCACGCTGCCCCTCACGGCCTTTGGCCTCGGGGTTAACACACACCCCCCACCCCGCGCCTGCGCTGTGGCGCCTTTTCCTGCTCTCGCTCGAGTCCTCTCCCGGAAGGGTCCGTCCGGGGCCATGCTGCTGATGGAGAAGAGTTCCGGCGGAGGTTTAGTTCCGGGGGCTGGTGTGCATGAGCGGCGGCTGCCGCCGCCCCGGCGCCGGGCCCGGCCGCAGCCATGATCCCGATCCCGGTCGTGGTGTGCGTGCTGGGCGGCTGGTGCGCCATCTACCTGGCGGACACGCTGCTGAAGGTGAGCGCTGGGCGGGCGCGGAACCGAGCGCCCGCAACGCGGCGCTGGCTTCGGCCCCGGAGAGCGGCCTCGCCGGCCCTGCCCTGCCCTCCGCCGGGGCGCCCGCGCTGCCCGGAGCGCCGTCCCCCACGCGCGGGAACACGTGACGGCCGCCGCCTCCGCGGGCCCCGCCGGGCGCCCGTTAACGGGGCGGGGCGGGAGGGGCGGCTGTTAGGGGTCCCGCCGCCCCGCCCCCCCTGGCCCGTCCGTTAAGGGTCGTCCGTTAGGTCCCGTCCCGTCCCGTCCCGTCCCGTCCCTGCCGGTGGATCCGGGGTCCGCCGTGTGGTCGCGCCTCGGCTCTTGCCCGCGCTCCTCGAGCTCACACTTTCCCCTAAATTAATGGGAGTGAAAACATGACCCTGTTTTCTTCCCTTTTGTGCTTCCGTAGATTTACTGGGGAAAAAAAAAAATAGAGTCAAAGTGAGCTGAAGAACTGCATATTAAATAAACTTTAACTTTAGTCTTTGGAGAGTATTGCAAGGCTCGGGTTTTTCCCCCTAATGAAGAAGGGAAGGTCTGAAAGGAGAAAATAAATCAGACTTATTTTCAGGAAAAAATAAGTCAGGGCACCGTTTGTTTTATCTGGGAATGTGTTTGTGCATTACACAAGCTTGTTTATTTATTTTTTTAGATTAAGATCAAGGGGTGTAATCTCTTGGACATGAGTGATGCTGCTAAGAACCCATGCAGAATAAGATCTCTGCTAGTTAAGGAAATATAAGGGAAAAAACAATGTGAAAGATTTGATCTATAATTATCTTCCTTCCCCGCCCCCCCCCCCCCTTCCCTCAAAGTTAATGTTGCAATTCAGGAATCGAATTTACTTCTGCCAAGTGTGTTTTAGGGCTTAGTAATTTCAAAGTGACATTTTTTTTTCTTTCCGTTGTTTTAAAATACAGGAAGGAATATTATCAGGGAAACTATATTTAGAAGATAATGAAACTTGAGCAGTAAGTGGCTCCCCCTGCTGCTAATTGTTAGGGAACAAATGTGGCTCTGTAAATGATGAGAGCTGTTATGGCCAAGTATAGTTTGTGCAAGATTCTTTTAATCCTATAAATGACAACAAAACGCCATTTTTTTTTCTGAAGATTTTTTTCAAATGTTACTACTCCAAGTCTCTATTAGGTATTTGGAGACAAACTTGACTTTTTTGAAACACATTAGAAGATTGACTGAATACAAGAAAAACAAGGTCTTGACTATGGTGAGACACCTCAAAAGTCACCAGAAAGGTCAGTGAAGAGGCCGGGTGCTGGCAGTAACTTTGTGTCTGATGAAAAATCTTGAGACTATAAAGCTGTACCTGGATTAATGTAGCAGTGTTGTGCTGAGACCCATTCATAGCCCTCAGATTCCAAAGACCTGTTTTAGATTTAGATATTTGAATCATTCACTTCCACGAGCAGGAGTAGCTGCTACTTTTCTTGTTAGAATCTCTAGTAGAGCTCAACATTAGCAAAAGGGAAAAAAAAAAGAATGAATGGGTTAGAGGCAACTTAGTATCTGATTTATGTTGCAGGAAAAAGGAGTCTCTGGAATGCAAGCAGTTTGGAAGTTTAGTCCAGAAGTTTAATTTTGACTTTGATCTTTTAATCACAAGTTGCCAAAAGTTGTTGATCTTTTAATCAGAAGTTGCCAAAAGTTGTTAGTCATTAGCAGCAGTTGAGTATCAGTGAACTTATTGGTGGATATGTGTATATCTCAATGGTAAGTTCTGTTTTGAACTTCTATTTTTTGCATAGAATAGAATATTATTTGGATTAAATAAGTTTTATATGATTGCAATACTTGGGCATGTTTATTTTTATTGCTAATATTGTAAGTGTCCTATTACATTTTGCACAGTGGCTAGCAAGCCACAGTGTTATAAGGACAGACCCTACTTGGACCTCAAATTGTGTATACTTTGAGTACAACAAAGAGACATATGGAACCTGAGTGAAAAATCATACAGGAGCGCTTTTCCATACATAATCCTATTAATATTCTTGGCAAGGGAAAGATTCCTGCTGTAACTTTTGCACTTGGTGTTTTAAGGTCTCTCTTGTTGCTCTTCAGTATTGCATTGGCATGAGAGATTCACAGAAGCTCGGGTCCTGAAGATCCCAGCTCCCCAGCACCCCAACCCTCCCGCTTCCATCCTTCCTGAGGGGCCAGGAAATGCGCGGGAGCTTGTCCCTGCTCCGGCCTAAGGCCCTGCGATGTGCATTAGGCTCATTCTCCCAAGGTTACACTTCAGCTTCCAAGGTCAGGAGCTGAGAGGGTTCAGAGCTGCCGAGCAGGCTTTGTCAGCACAAAAGAATGTTAAGGACTCCTGCTTGCTGACAGGTATTTATGGAAGTCCTGCAGTATTGAGCCTCATCATCCTGAGGGCTGCCATAAATAATAATAAGATATTGCCTTCATAGTGAAGTTAACATAATAACTTAAAGCTTAAATTGGAGAAGCAGAGCCAAAGCCTCAGTGAAGGAAGCATGAAATGAAACATAACGTACAGATGCTTGGGGTGGGAGGGTTCATTTGCACGTGCTGATGTTGGGATCAGGACAGTAGAACAAAAGTTTGTGTAAAGACTTTAATAAATCTTGCAAAGGAATAGTGTAATTTAGTTGTTTAAATGATTTGGATTATACTTTATGAAATTGTTTACACAACTGTTTTCCTCACACTTGTGATGAAAACCCGAAAGGATAATTAATTTTGGTGCCTTTTTATATATAAATATATATATACTTTTTGCCATTTGGTGAGTGTATTGAGAAGATCACTAATCTTCATGGTCCTTGCTGCTAAAGTTAGGATGGGTTAGCTGATCTGGTTGTGGAAGTCAAGCCTAGCAATGCCATAGGGAATGACTGATGTTGGCTAAGGATTATGTTAGGATGGAAGTTGCTACCAGTGTGTTCAGCAGCCTGAATGAAAATGTGACTCAAACCAGTAAGCTGAAGAAGAAAATTACACAAACATATGGGTAAAAAGGATAAAATAGTGTCATGGATGAATAAACAAATGATAATCTGAATAAACCAATCTCACATTTTTGAAGACTGTTACTTAGAGTAAATGTTTAGTATGTTCACATTTTAATTTATCTAAAAACATATGAAAAAAAGGTAACTGTAAGTGTCCAAGAAGATGATCTCACTCCCTCACACCATAGAAGGACAGCAGGGATTCAAGGAAATGAGCTATTTTAAATCTATTTAAAGCATGTTGGAAGATAACTAGTAGCTTCTGAAGTTCCTTTTGAGAGACAGAGGGGAGCTCCCTAAGACACTCACAGTCCTGATTCCTTCAGTAGATGCTGCTGCTCATAGGGAGGATCAGGAGCTGAGCTGTAGTTGAGGCAGCTGCAAACACTCATCCGGATTATGTCAGAGGCACTCATGCCTTGGAGCTAATCTCAAACTATTCCTCTTTATTATAGTTTTAAAAACATTTACTAGATATTAATTGCACATAAAGAAAATAACATAAGCAGCCAGTTCTTTCTATAGCCTTCTAAAAAGGCAGTTAAAACCTGCTGATAATGATTTAACACTAGGAAACATCATATAACATCTTATTTATGAAGCAACATGGGATACCTGATTTATTTTACAGTTTTAAAACTACTGCGACTTGCATCACAAGAGTGGGATTTTTTTTTTTAGTACTACATGTCACACAAATATGTGTCAAAATATTAAAACCATATAGGATATTTACCTGAAGTTACACATCCTTTTACACATTTCCTCCTTCTGTAGTATATTGTGTGCAACATAAAATCTTCCTGAGAGTTTTGGCTTAACCTATTCTTTCACTGTTTTGCAGTCATCCAGCTCTTTAAAAGCGTCTTATGAAGACTGGCTGCTGACATATGGCCTGAGTGTCTCTCCTTTCCACATGCGATGGCAGACTGCTCTCTTCAACCGCCAGTTCTACAACTGGGGACGATGGAAACCTAGATTTCTTTATCTATGGTATAAACCCACTTTTTTTTTTTTTCTGTCAAATATAGAAGTTTTATGTATCTCTACATCTGTGCCTTTTAGCCTTAAAAGTGCAGTGGATATACATGGGTTATTTCGATAGGTTAACAAAAAAATGCCATACTTATATTGTTCCAGAATAAGCTTTTCTCCTTTGCTAAAAGATTTGTATCTCTAATGTAAGTTACATACTGTGTTGCTATAAACACTATGAATCTGTGAGCTGTGTTTTTGCTTATAGTTTGAGCTATATGTTGTTCTTAGGCATATAGCCATTAGCATGTACTACTGCATATAGATACAGACCAGAAAGCAGCTTCTCGTGTCTCCAGTCTGTCGTTCTCCCTGAGTTCTCAGGGAGTTCTCCCTGATCACTAAAGGTAGAAGCTGTTCAAGATGCCTGGGTTGTCAATCATTTCCCAGGCATTCCTTTCCCCGCTAAGACTTCTTAGACTTGGTAACCGACTGTGAATGCTTCTGGACTGATGTAGAAAATTATTGCTGAATTGCCTTTCTAGTGTTACTTTATACTCACCCTGGAAATAAAAATGCATAAGGCTAGACTTCTTTTCATTTCCTGTACTGTTGCCCTTAGTGAGAGAGGAGTGGAAGTCTGCTTCATATTGTTTCTTCTAGTGTGTCATAATTGTATTTCAATTTGTAGTAGTTCTGTATCAGTCAGGATTTTTAATATGCATAATTTATTAGTGTGATATTTCCATGAGTCTCCTTAATTAACATTACAAATGCATGCTTCTTAAATTTGCAAATTCCCAGTGAGATTCATTTAGGAGGGTAAAAGGAAAAGAATGCTATTATGAGGGAGAGGGACTGCTAGTGATCTGAAGTATAATAAGCAGAAAATAAACTTTACCACAACCTCCCTATAGGGTATTATGAAATAATAATCATGTCTAATAAAAATTCTCCATTGGTTGGACTAATGCAAATTGAAACATTTTTCAACACTAATTTTAATCAAAAATAAATTGATGAGAAGAAAAGTCTATTTGAAGTAATTGATTTTAATATAATTTCACATTTGCACCTTTTATCTTTCCTTCTTTAAGGAAGGTTGAATCTTGTTCAGTGTTCTTTAGCACCTTTATCTCTGGCCAGGAAGATGCATTTAATAAGCTTTTATAAATATCTATGCTAGCCCTTAATTTGTTTTTTTTTTCCCCTAAATTTGCAGTAGCAACATAGTAAATTATACATTCCTTACTCTTCTATGTTTTTATTCATAACTAGTGTCAAGACACATTTTGGGGGGAATAAAATTTAGAATATGTAAAATAACATAAAATGTTTGAAAATATATCAGGATGTAGTGCTGAATGTAAAAATTTGTTAACCAGGGGGAAGAGTATATATTTTAAGCGAATTAATTAATCAGTTTCCTTTAGCTGATATTTTCCTTCTTTATTGTTGATACACAAATGACAGTATCCCAGGCAAGTGCAGAATGACCATGTAGTCATAGAATCATTATTTTTGGAACAGACCCTCAGGATCATCAAGTCCACCCTTAAAGATTTGCTCTGTGAGTTTGGTGTGCTAAGGAAGTTGAAGCAGTTATGTGTTCCAAGACTACACCTTATATTCTGACTGCTAAATTGCTAAAATACTTATTTGCTTTGTAGGTTCAGCATAGGAATGGTGTTTGGTATAGTTGCCATGTTTGGATCAGTTATTCTCCTTGGAAAAACACTGATGCAAACACTGACCCAGATGCTAACCGAGGCCCCCAAAGCCCAGAATGACCGAATGCTGCAAGTTGTGGTAAGTGGTATCTCCTTGGGTCATCCTTTGAGAACTGTGAACTGATCTTAAACAGTTTCTTAATGGGGTATGATAGCTAATGTGATACTTATTTTTGCATGGAAGGATTTAACTAACTCCTGATAAACTTTGGCATGAAGTATGCTGGCTGTTATCAGCCTTGAGAAAGGGAAGTGGAGTTAGTGCAGAAAAGAAGGGAAGAAAAAAGGAAGGAACTCTTCCACAAATTTGGAAGTTTTCAAAATAAGTTCATAATCCATAAGAGGAGAGGAGTTTGCTTTCATTTATTATTATGATGCAGAACATTATCAGTGAAGGGTAAAGATTCAGTAGTAGGGACATGGCATGTTTTTGGATTGCTCAAGGTCCTCTGCCTAATTTGCAGTGTGAAGTGGAAGATTCTTTCTGTAGCTGGTCACAGGGTGATAACAGTTCATTGAATTGTCTCGTGGATTTCTGATGCGGGCAATATATAGTGTGGTTTTAGAAAGGAATGTATTTTACAGAATGGAGAAATTGCAGATAGTGCCTTTTTTTAATCAGTTGAATCAAAATACCTTAGGCAGTATGAAGGAATTAGCATTAGCTTTAAAACAGTTTAAACTTGCAAGGATTCTTAGCGAACCTCATTTACTCAAGAATGCTGTCTGATCAGATTGTATGGTGATTTTCCAGAACACAGAAAGCTCTCTGAGGTTGCTTTGCCTTCTGCTGTGTGGCGTAGAGCAGTGGTTTCCAGTGAGTTTACACTATATGGTACTTAGCTAGTCAAGTGACAGGTTGAAGGTTATGTACTGCCCTTCTCTGTTAGATGACAGGCCTTCCTGTAGGTGCCAAAATTACTGTGTGCAGCTAGACCTAAATGTTGCAGAAGCCCAGGAAGCTTGGTGGTTAGCATGTGCTGTAACTCTGGTACTTTTCAAATAGTTAGGATTTGTTTTGCACATGCAGAGTGGTGCTGCTGCTGCCACTGGTCACCTGGCCCACAGCCTCTTCCTCAATTATGGAGTTACTGGAAACAGGAGGGAATAAGCTCTCTTGGTTGTATGTCCAGTAGAGCATGAGTTCAATATGAGACTGAAATTTTCTGACATTCAGGCAAGCAGAGTCTTTCCAAAGCCTGTGTGTCTATTACATTGTGGAGTAAGAAAAGCTCTCTTACATCTTTATTTCTGACATCATTATATGGATTTATCCTCTTTTGTGGCACCACAGTGAGGCAGTCATTTGCAATACACTGCTCTTTGGAGAAAATATCTTAAATAGGCAGGGGACAAAACAAAAGCTGCTGCTTTGGGAAGTCATCTAATTTGAATTGAAACTAAGAAAGCAGAAATCTAGGTTGACATCCACAATTTCTATGTGAGGAGGATTTCTCAGTGACTACTAGCAGCATCACCGCATTCAAAGCAAGGACAGATTGGTATTGGAGAGGATGTAATATATAAGGATCATGTAGCAATATTGCTACTTTTCCTAAGTCGACTTGTGGTTCTGTTTCTTTCCTACCTCATTCTTTCATTTCTGAGTGGTCAACTGTAATAACATTCTGCCTTTGAAGAATTTCAGTATTCTTTTTGCGGGGAATGTGCTACCATAAGTTAACATAAGAAACTGGCCCAGATATGGTTGAAATGATGTAAAGAGCAAGGGAGGAGAGCCTTTTCATTTAGATTTGTCACTCGTAGGTTTCATTGTTATCTGACTGCCTAGGGGAGAGTTATGTTAAAGAGGCAAAATTTTATTGTGTTTTGTTTACTTCTGCGTTAGTTAGCTGTCATTAGCCTTTATTTAACCTTTGGCTTTAGAGTAGAGGAGCAACAGTCCTGTCTATGTTACACTGATCAAGATTTTTTTTATCCCTCCTCTTTGTACAGTCATGTACTTTATTTAAAATACCTGTCTGTACATAACTGAGTTGTTTTTCTTCAGCTGCCCACTGTTATCTTGATTGCCTCTTGACAAAAGTGGGAAAGAGGCTGATGAGTTATTAACAAAGGATCTTCTTTTATTTGAGGTATTTTCAAGAGACCATAAAATATAAGGTTATTAAATGCATATTAACAGAATATTGCTCTTAATTTCAGGCCTCATCATGAGAGATATCATGAGCTTCTTTTTTAGGTGAATCTGAAAGCATTCAATGCTGTATTCTAACCTGCTGCTGTCATGGTAGAGTTAAGATAGCAGTTTTAGCTGTTGCCATCTATCCTCATCTATATGCACAACAAAGGGTTACTAAGAATGGCAGTGAAGTGATCCATCAATGCCACCATCTGATGCTGTAGTAATACCAGCAAGAGGTTCTTGACAAATGAAGAACAGATAACTTCTTACAGGCAGGCACAATAATTATGTCAGTTAAGGTAGACCAGATACCTTGGTTATGGTCACACTCGGAATAGGATTTTTGAAATGTTTCAGTTCAACACTATTGAAAATGGTCTCCTGAAAGATTTCATTTATCTAGATTGCTCACCAAGCTGCTTTAGAGTTCTGCCACACATAGACAGCTGAATCACGTAACGGAGGGATGAGTGCGATTAAATGAAGGTAGGGTGAAGTGGCACGTGCTCGCAGTGACCTGCTGCCAGAAGAAATAGTGCATCTCCCTTCTGCCACTATTCATACTATATTCACAGCAGTGCTAACAGTGAGGTACTCTTTGCCTCGAGGAGGAAGAGCAGATGGGGCCTTCCCTGAGTCAACAGCAGAAGTGGTCTTAACCTTCCTGCTAAAGCAAAAGCAGCTGAGAGGAGATGAGGATGAAGCAGCCCCCTCAGATGGAAAGAGGAAAGGTTTCTCCTTTGCTCGCTTGTGACTGCCTTGAAGCCTATTTGGCAGGAGATGGTGACTTAGAACTAGTGCAATAAGGGATGTGGGGAACAGTGTGAATCCACAGAGACAGCAGAAATGTGAGGGGCCTATGTGTTATGTCTTAGGTAAATTATGTTTTTCCTTCAATTATCATATATAGACACACAAAACATCATGAATAAGCCTTTTTTTAATCCTTTAAATCAGGGTCGGCCTCACAATTTGGTTTAGGGAAAGAGAAGAGAGTGTGAACTCCTCTTGCAGCCCTTTTGAACTGTTTGCACAATGTTTTAAGTGCAGTGTAGCTTTCAGTGGAGGGTGGATCTCTATAGCTACATGGCTAGCTGCAGGAAATTGTAAACTAATGCTCACCGCGGGCTGATCTGTTAAAGCCTGTGTGCATTCTTAGGAACTTATGGAGCTTAATATAGGGTAGGACACATTCTGTGAGGGTTGTGGGTAAACAACCCACAAAAGGGGTAAAGAAAGGGTAAAAGCTCTGTAGAGCTTTTTGTCCTTCAGTAAAAGATAATATATTCGGTATATTTTAAAATATACCCAGTAAATTGAGGGAAGAGGCACAATCTGATAGCATTGCATGAAAATGCCCTCTGTTCTGTTGCTTAGCTGAAGATGCAGTGTGAGAACAGTAAGTTTAGAGGCAGCAGGATTTGTCTTTCTACCTCTTGGTTTCCTAGCGTTTTGTTTTGTTGTCATGCCCACACAAACAGGTGCCTGGTGTAAATTTGCCTGTCAGCCAGCTGGCCTATTTCTTCTCTGCAATCCTCATCAGTGGTGTGATACATGAAGTCGGCCATGGGGTGGCAGCTATTCGGTAATACAAATTATTTTTCTCTTACTGTGTGTCAACAAAGCCTAATATTCCAGAGTGTTTTAATTGCAGGCAAATATTGTTAGCATTTCATTGATTCATTTGGAGAGTGTGTTTATGCTGTTTTTAGTAGCATTTTCTAGCTTCCTTAGACTAAGTTAGGAAGGTTGTGCAGTGGAGGATAGAGTTTTAATGCAGTGTCTGTTGTACAGAAAGTGATAATGACTTTTTGCGTTGTTAATATACTACATTGTGTCGTATTTACAATTCCACTTCTTTAAAGCTATCTTGCTTTTACAGAGGAGTTGCATTGCTGTAGCTGAAGCATTTGCAGAGGACCTATGCACTATGGCACAATGGCACTCTATAATAAATTTTAAATTATTTTTTTAAACATATTTTGTAAAGTAGTGTATCAGCAGGCTGAAGCGTGGAAGTAACTCCATCAAATGTAATCTATCCCTGCTAATTTCAGTGATATGTTAATTTTGATCACAGATGAGTTTTTTTTCATGTCACTGTTAGCTGTGATGATTACTTCACAAAAAGATATTTGCTATAATTAATCATTACTGTTCAATGACATTCTAGTGTTTAAGTGATGGTTACTAGAAGGTGAACTTGATATTCTGGTGCCCTCTGTATTTCTCTTGGACGTCATAGGCATTATTTGTCCCAAGGGCACCAAACACTAAGTTGTTCTTTTATAGTTGCTTGAGTGTAGGAAGTCCTGTCTGTGTCTCAACTATGTCTACCTGCCTGTAGAAGTTCTCGATTAAAGTAGAAGTTTGGGACCAGAATGGTTTTCATCAGTCTGTTTAGCTTGTTTTCTCTAAAATTCACAATGGTTTTTCTGTGGAGAATGAAACTTGCCCTTGATTGTCCTGCTATAGGAGGAGCCAACAAAATTTTATTTCTTCCTTTCCCTGTTACAGTTGGCTTCATGTGCTGCTAGCCAACATCAGAGATACTGGGAATAACAATGCAGCCCTTAACCAGAATTAATAATTTTAACATCTTAATGGTGTAATGCATAACTATTTTCACTCATGATATAGAGCAAAGGTCTTAGATATTCAAATTCACCTGGTGTTTTTCTACAATTTTTTTTGCCAGTTATTTTAAAGGAAATAATGTTCACACAAGTACAGAATGGTTGAAGATGGAAGGGCCCTCTAGAGGTTGTCTAGTCCAGCTTTCCCACTCAAACAGGGTAGTCCAATGTTAAATTGCCAACAGTTAAAATACATTAGAATACATTAAAATACATTAGAAAAATAAGATTTTTCCTGCTCAGATGGCTGCTGCTTTCTCCTTGACATTTTATTTTTCCTCTCCTTGTTCAGATTGGGTCTACACTGCTCTTAGGATCAGTTCTCAGGGTTTAGGCTGTACTGAGTAACTACTGCAGGAGAATTTCATTATTCTGGCAAATGACCAGACTCCCTGGTCTGCAATATGGTTTTGCCAAGTGCGGTTCAAGACAACTTAAAATATTTGAGCCAAGGCTTGTACTAGAAGGGCATTTGTCACTTTACAGAGCTGCAGTCTTTAAAATCAGCAATTGCTTTAACCTGCAATGGGCAGGCTTATGGCAAGAGGGATATCTGTTCAGAACATTAGTTTTAAAATGTTCTGGATCCATTTTTCATAGATGACAATCTGTTTAAACGATTGGCTCAAAAACCTTTTTCTTCTTCAGCATGTACCTCCTGCATATGTTATGAAATCTCGCATACAATGTCATTACAACACCTTTCATTAGCTTGTACTATGGGGAGATCCGATAAGTTAACTGTGGGGAGTGAATGTATTGTTTCATTCTGAATTATATTTATATTATATTATGTCTTTTTTTTTTACTATATATGCGCTTCATTCTTGCAGCTAAGATTATATGAAAATCAATAAATAAAATACTGTGCCTACTGTCACAGAAAAGATGTGAGATTAGCTGATCCATGCCTGGTTTGCAATAATCTACTTAGAATACTATTATTATGATTCTATAAGTCTCTTAGGAAATTTCTAGATTCAGAAAACCTTTACATAGTAACTCAAAAAAAAAGAAAGTACTGTTTAAAAACACAGAAACTCATAAAATGAATTATATGTGACAATGTAATGTATGGCAGTGTCAGGTGTTTTTAAAGGACATTAGTCCTTCAAAACTGTTGAATTTTCCTTCTGTGTGTTTTTTCTTTTTTATGATGTTTACCCTCATCTTTGTTAGTTTATAAATTACTTCAAATTTCCTATGGACAAAGAGAGAAATGATAAATCCAGACAATGTATAAGTGCTTCTTATAACTTTCTCCAGATAACTTTTAGTTTGAAATTGAGTCCTATGCTGCCATGTTTTATTTAAGATTAAAAAAAAACCTAAATACTGAAATATATATATTAACTTGAAAGTCTGTAGGATTTAATGTTATTCTTACCAGAAACAAGAAAATAAATTGAAGTGCTCCATAGCGATACTGCAAATGTATGTTGCTAAAAGTTAGTTATATTATGATAATTGTAGTTATTCTAGTATTCAAAAATGTATCTATTATGCAGAATCACTCATTTCTTGCAATTGTTTGTTTGTAGTAGCAAGTAACATCCTCCCTCCTCTTTTTTTTTAAGAGAGCAAGTACGGTTTAATGGATTTGGAATTTTTATCTTCATTGTCTATCCTGGAGCATTTGTTGACCTCTTCACAACTCACTTGCAACTTATCTCTCCAGTCCAGCAATTGAGGATATTTTGTGCAGGTAATAGTTCAGTCTCTTGAATTAAATCTTCATTTAGAGAAGTTATTAGTTTTACATGTGTTTGTTGACATATGTCAACGTGACAGGAGTCCTCTGCATATCTGACTTTATATTTTTCTGGTCAGATTTGTGAATACATGGTAACACCTCTAAAGCGGGCGTAATGTACAAGTCCTTAATGGAGGATTGAAGCCTTAAATAAGACAGCATATAAGTTTCTCTGTACTTAAAGTAATCCTTCTGTTCTGGATATAAAAATGTTCTGCCAGTGATGTCCAAAAATCCATCGAATACTTCTGTCTGTTATCATACTGTTTTCCAGGGGAAGAGACTTCAGTTTCTAGGAACTTGACTGAGTACCAATTTCCTTTCATGGAAAGTGTTGCTGTATCCTAGATCTGATTCAGAACAGTTGTGCATAGGAAGTCTCAGCTGTATGATTGGAAAGGAATGTGATTTCTGACCTTCCTCTCCCATTAGAATAGGCTCATACACTGCCCAGGTGCAGAAGCTTTTCAGCCTGTTTTCTGTATTATATGTCCTAATTGATAAAATCTTGAAGCACACAAGCTGGAAGATTTTCAGCCAGAAGACTGGTGATATGAAGGCAGAAGTAGCTTTCACAGCCAATCTTGAGCAAATCACTTCCATTTGCTGCAATAGGTGCTATCACATAATTTTCAATAGTAGTTTCAAGAAAGTATAAGCTATACAAGTGCTTTGTATAGCACTTGTGCAAATTATACAAGTGCTTTGATGTTACTGTCAGTGGGAGATAAAGATTAAAACACAAACTTGTTTGGATCCAAATAAGATCACAGCTTATGTTTCCAAATAACCTCCAAATGGTTTTGGATGGATATTTTTTAATATATATACTGAAGGGAAAAGTGGCTACTGTGTTATTCTTCCTATATTATGAATCATTTCTGGAAATGTTTCCTAACCTATTGAAATAAAGACAGAAAAGTTAGCATTTTGCTTTAGTTCTTCACACTGATGTTTTTTCCACTGCAGGGGAGAATAGGCAATACAACAGCAGCCTGCCTGTTGTATTGCTCACATGCTAACATATGTTCCTGAATATTGTAACCATAAAATATTGCGAAGGAGGCTTTGGGCAGGAAATGCAAAAGTAGTTAGCAAAGAATATTTTCAAGCTTTTGTGAATCAGGTAAATGATAATAAATGCTAAGGAAATAAATATAATTTATATTCCAAATACCTAAGCTAAAATTATTCACTGAAATAGAGTATCTTTTATGATACCCTATTTTTCAAGTTAATCAGTTCTATTTTCCAGCTAGAAGGAACATATGTGCAAGAGAAGACACATTAATTTTTCAAATGATCTACTTACATGTATTTCTGCAATTATATAGAAAACAGAACTGTAAACTGTAATAGAAAGTAATTGTTTGCTTATTTTAAATGACAAGGAAATGCCTGTTTTTCTTAAGAAATTCTTAAGAAGCCTGAAATAGGGAGATACAAAGTAATTGAGTAATAGTAGTAGCAATAATAATAGTAATTGAGACATATTACAGGTTTAGGTGTAACAAATATCTGCAGTTGAATACAACATGATAATGATAGTGTAATGTTTCGAAGATCTGAATTTAAAGACCTGAATTTATAGAAAAATGCTTTCAGATTTTTGTATTGTAACTAAGTAAGTAGAGAACTACACTAAATTGTCCTCTATAGGCCACCTATACTCTGGAGATTAAAAAGTATATTTGTTGTACAGCAGATGGCATCGTGGGTTCACGAATAGTGAAAGAGCATTCTTTTAAGACAAGTGATATTTTTGGCACTTATTTTATGCCTAAAAGAGAAAAAGGTACTCCTCTGCAGCACGTATGTAATTTTTTGTTTTATTTTGGAGATCCTTTTAATGCTATTTATTTTAACATGAAGGGGAGTTAAAGATTTTGAAGATGTTATGGTAAGGTGTTGCAAGGGTTGGTTAAAGTGTGCCTTTTTAAATATAAAGAATAAGTTATCCAAGGATGAGGCTGTTTTAGCAAAATGAAATTGATGGCATACTGAATAGTGCACCTTTTCAGATACTCTTTCTTATAAACTTTTCTTTATTTTTTTTCTGTGGATAGCCTGGGTTGGATTTCATGGCTTTCTGTTTTAAATTTCTCTGACATATTCCACATAGAAACCTGTGGAGATTATAGTAATAAAGTCTGTGTTTTCCAGCTGTTTGCAAGTATTCCTTGTCATCCTCCAGCACTTCTATTAACTCTCCTTTTTTGTTGTTGTTTTCTTGTTTTATTTTGTTTTTAATCCACTTTACTTTCTCTAGTAGCCACACTGTTACAAAGCAATTTTAGTTCGATCTTGGATTTTATCCTGTCTTAAGCTGGGAAAAGAAGATTAAGAAAAGCTTTTTAAATCAAAAATAATTAAGATAAAACTTTTATTTAACACTTCATTTTTATGGTACTTGCACCTGTGCAGTAAGGGAGAAGAGACTTTAGTGCTGAAACACTGTATTTATCCTATTACTTTCAATGCAGTACCGTTAAAAACTTGCAGGAAGGGATATTACTTTAAAAAATAGCTGCGAGTGGAAATGATAACAAACACTTAATCAGAGTCCTCCAGAAAATATTTCTCACTAGAAATCTAGCAGAAGAAGAAAAATATTTTTTAAAAACCTGATGACATGTTATGACAGTCAGGGAAAAGAAGAGTCTGTCATATGTTATGGTAGTTACCTTACATATGGTATGGGATTACAATTTTTTAAAAATACATTTACTTTATATTGCCTAATGAATCTATTGCATAATGAAATACAGAATTGAATCAAATCCTTCTTAACAAGGTGAAGCACTATAAGAGGAAATAAGGCGTTTTAAGTATTGGAAAGCTTTCCTACATGGGTTACAAAAAATGTTTATCCAAGAAGAGAAATGGAATGTGAAAAATTTTATAGGGTGGGATGTTAAAGGAAGTCAAATATGTCTTATGTGGAGTTGTTTTCATCCTATGGAGAACCACTAGCTGTAAAAATTATAGTTGTAAACAAGAAACCAAAATTAATGGGTAACAAAATGCTAATTATACAACACAGTTTCTTGATGTGGTTTTAGGCCCATATTTTAAACATGATTTTAAAAGAAGCTATTTTTCTAATCTTATTTGGCACATATTCAGGTGATTATTCTCATTTTAACAGGATTGATCCGGTGAAGATAACTGCAACTGAGTATTTTCCGTGGTTAATTGTACCACAACAGTACATCTTGCTCGCAAAAAGCACTTAGTATTTTATATTTGTATTTAAGTCCATTTATTAAAGTTTCTTAAATTTGGCATTTTCTATTGTAGAAAGTGACAAACGATACATTTCTCTCCTTTTTTATTATTTGTAGTTTATGAGAGTTCTTTAGATAGAAACTGTAAATTAACAGTAGATTCAAAATACCAGTGTTTTTCATATGGATAATCTGCCCAGAACATACTCATGCAAGTAATATTATGTGATTAAAATCAATATAATAGAATGATGCATTGAAATTGGATCTACCCCTTTCTTGTATTTTCCATGTAAGCATACCACCACAATAAAATGAATATAGCAATAAAGCAAGTCACACTAATTGTTTTGTTTCCGGTGCATATAAAAGTTGTGCTTACAATATACTGTAGTCTATTGTGTGTACAGTAGCATTAAAAAAAAAAAAGCCTTATTTTTAAAAAATTCTTCATTACTAAAAATGCTAACCCCTCATCTGAGTCTTCAGCAGATTGTAATCTTTTTGCTGTTGGAAGGGCTCATGTCAATACTGACAGCTGCTGACAGATCACGGTGATGGTTGCTGAAGGCTGCGGTGGCCGTGGCAATTTCTTAAAATAAGATAGCAATGAAGTTTGCTGCATCAATTGATTCAAAATTGTAGTCATTCCTCTCAAACCTTGCTGCTATTTGGCAAGTAAATTTTATGTAAAAATCTAAAGCCTTTGTTGGTATTTCAACAGTGTTCACAGCATCTTTTACCAGGACTAGATTGCATCTCAAGAAGCCACTTTCTTTGCTCACCCATAAGCAGCTCCTCATCCGCTCAGTTTTATCATTCATGAGATTATCATGAGATTGCAGCAATTTAGTCATATCTTCAGGCTCCACTTCTAATTTCGGTTCTCTTGCTGCTTCCACCACATCTACAGTTACTTCCTTTACTGAAGTCTTGAGCCCCTCAAAGTCATCCGTGAAGGCTGGAATCAGCTTCTTCCAAACTTATGCTGATGTTGATATTTTGACCTACAGCCATGAATCATGGAAGTTCTTAATGGCAGCTATTTCCTTATGAAATATGTTTTTTTTTTCTTTTTTTGTTGTTTTATTTTAAAAAGTCTTGAAAGTCAGAATTACTCATTGATCCATTGGCTGCTGAATGGATGTTGTGTTAGCAGGCATGAAAACAAAATTAATCTGCTTGTGCACCTCCATCAGAGCCCTCGGGTGAGCAGGTGCATTGTCAGTGAGCCATAATATTTCAAAAACAATCTTTTCTTCCAAATGATAGGTCTCAACAGTAGGCTTTAAATATTCAGGATAGCATGTTGTAAACAGATGTACTGTCACCCAGGCTTTGTTGTTCCATTGACTGAGCACAGACAAAGTAGATTTGGTGTAAATCTTAAAGGCCCTGGGTCAGAGTGATAGCTCCAATTCAGATTGGTTTCAGCTAAAGTCATCTGTCTTTTGAAGCCACTCTTCTCTCTAGCTGTGGGAATCACAGATGACATCTACTTGCACCATAAGGCTGTTTGGTCTCCATTGAAAAATTGTTTAGTGTAGCCACCTTCATCAACTATCTTGATTAGATCTTCTGGATAACTTGCTGCAGCTTCTACATCACCACTTGCCGCTTCAACTTGCACTTTTATGTTAATGGAGATGGCTCCTTTCCTTAAACCTGGTGGACCAGCCTTGGCAAGCCTCGGGCTTCTTGTCTGCAGCTTCCTCAGTTCTCTAAGCCATGATAGAACTGAAGAGAGTTAGGGTCTGGATTAGGCTTTGGCCTAAGGGGATGTTGTAGCTGGTTTGATCTTCTGTCCAGACCACTAAAACTTTTTTCATAACAGCAAGAAAGCTGTTTCTTATCATTCATGTGTTCACTAGAGTAGCACTTTTAATTTCCTTGCAGAACTTTTTCATCTGCATTCACAACTTGACTGTTTGGCACAGAAGGCATTGCTTTTGGCCTGTTTCAACTTTGACGTGTCTTCCTCAATAAGCTGAATCATTTCTGTCTTTTGATTTAAAGTGAGAGGTGTGCAACTCTTCCTTTCACTCAACACTTTAGAGGCCATTGCAGGAATATTAATTGGTCAATATTATTGAAATTAGGGAACGTAGGGGCAAGGAGAGGGGAGAGACACAGGAAAGGCTGGTTCGTGGAGCAGTCAGAACACAAGCAACGCTTTATCATTTGCCATCTTATATGGGCATGGTTTGAGGCACCCCCAAACAGTTACAATAGTAATGTCAAAGATCACAGACCAACTAACAGATAAAGTAATAATGAAAAGGTTTGAAATATTACGAGAATTAGCAAAACACGACACAGGCATGAAACAAGTACCCGCCGCTGGGAAAAAATGGTGAAGATAGGCTTGCTTGATGCAGGGTTGCCACAAGCCTTTAGTTTGTAAAAGTAAAAAAAACAGTACCTGCAAAGTGCAATGGACAAAAGCACAACAAAATGAGGTGCATATATACATGTGTGTGTGCATATATATGAACATATATATGTAGTATTATTTTCAAGGGTTTGGAAGATTCTTTAAATCTACCTCCTGTACAAGTTTGCACCTCCTGTACAGATTGTAAAATACGCATACTTTTCTTTCACACCTGTATTCATAAGTTAATTTTTCTACTATTGTTGCAGTAATTATTTTTGCAATATTTAATTAAAATGTAGCTAACATTTGCATTTCAGAAATACCATTTTGTTATTTCTTTGAGTGTTTATTTAAAAACATTTTGTATATCTTTTTCTTTTTTTTTAGGAGTGTGGCATAATTTTGTTCTTGGTGTTGCAAGTCTTATAGTTTTGTTTCTGCTACCAGCCATTCTTTTCCCTTTCTATTACACGGGTGTTGGGGCACTTGTCACTGAAGTCACAGAGGTAGGAAAAGGTTTCATATTATATGTTTGTTTGTTTCTTTGTTTTTTTTTTCTTACACTAAATATGCTGTTTTTCATGGAGAATGCTGTTTATGTAACACTCTATCCTAAGTTAGAATATATAATACTACTCTTATTAGAGCCAGGTACTTTCTGTTTCTGCAAAAATAATTTCTTAGCCTAAACATTACAGCAGAACTGTAAGCTAATTCTTCTAGCTTTAACAGTTACGTGACTATATGACTAATGTCACTTTCTTCTCAGGATTCTCCTGCCAATGGACCACGAGGCCTTTTCGTAGGGGATCTTGTCACTAGTCTGCAGGACTGCCCAGTTTATAGTGTGGAAGACTGGAATTACTGCCTGGGAGACATTACAGAGAAGTCACAGATTGGCTACTGTATAAACGCAGCAACCCTACAGCAATTAAGTTTTCCAGCTAGAGGTATGGCTCTTGGTAGTCTCTTCATTAGATTGTAATTTTACCATATATTAAAGACTCTTTGGCATTGAGGATTTGTTACTGAAACAGCTTTTAGCTAAGTCGAGTCTACTCTCCTATCTAAAATGACGACCTGTGTGCATTCCATATACTGTATGGTCTGAATAATGATATTTGGCTCTTCAGGATATTGCATAATGTGTTTGTTACCAGTAATACAGTTATGTCCTGTATTTTTAGCTTAGGCAACTCGGTCATGTATTACAGAGGTAAATTTCGCATATTACCTTATTGCTGTCATCTGTGTAACATTTACAAACTGTGGCATAAGTTAATGATGTGCTTTATTATGGCCGCTTCTGATCCGTCTCACCATGCAGATTTTATGCTTCGTTTGCTTCTCCAGACTTTGCCTATAAACTTATTTCTGACTGGATTGCACGTATTTTTTCTGGAAGCCAGTTTATTTCCTTCTGTTTTCATTTATACATTAGGTTGCTTGTTGCTGTAGCAGCTTACCCCCAAGAAACAAAAACCAGGAACTGAACTAAACTGAAACCATAAACAAAATTAACTAGGAAAAAAAAAACAGTCACATTAAATTGTCTGAATGTCTTGTGACATGCCCTAAAGCTCTCAAGAGTTTTGTTAATTCAGGCATCCAGGGAGACTGAATTCCAAAGGTAAGAGGCTGCGGCTACGCAGAAACTGCGTAATGCTATTCAGAGCTTTAAAATTTTCAGTGGCATTTTTCTATCATACTGCGAGTAAAAGGGAGGTTGAGTACTCATATTTTTGATGAATTATTGTTGTCATGTGACATATGAAAAAAAAAAAGGTTATCTTTTCTATGTAAGGAAAGTAAACTTGCAGTGGGAACTAAGATAAATATTTAACCCAAAGCTAGAGAAGCATGGGTAAGGTTCAGGCTTTCAGATGTCTAATAGTTTGGATTATCTTCTGAAGAGAGGGGGCAGCTTGGCACATGCTCTCAGCTGGGCTGGAATGGCAAGTGGTAAACAGTTCCTAGATCCTAGAAAGATATACGTGCTGAGATTCTGTTGCCCTCAGAAATACAATTGCAGAATCATGGGTAATAAAATTGCACATCCTGCCGCAGAACCAGTCCTATTTAGATGGAAATCTAGAGACTTAATATTGCTTCTAAGCTTGGTTGCTGTATTGTATTAGTAGCCCATTGTCCCACTGCTGCTTTCTAATCAGACCAGTCTGTCTGTATTTTCTAAGCCACAGACCTCCAGCAGTGAGAAATATTCCTCTGAAATTAAATGAACTCTGTTCAGTCTCTAGCTGCTGTCATTTGTCAAAATCTTGACAGCTCACAACCTGACATATATAGCGTATCAATAAAAATGTGTATAGCAAACGGACCCTCTCTACTTGACCGTAAAACAAGTGGAGAATAAACTATTTAAGCTAAGTATGAAGTTAGATTGAAAACAATGCCACGGAGGCCTATCTGAGATTAAAACCAAAAACAACAACAGCCAAAAAGGAGTTTTTAATGTGGTTTATAAGGAAACTAATTTCATGGTCATTCGCTATTTGGACATATATTTCTGGTTGCTTAGCCTCAGGATATTTGAAACATACCTCAGGCATAAGGCTCCAAGTTAGTGGACTACAGAGCATGTTGAGATAAGTAGGCAGCCAGTACTGCGGGCCTCCTCTACCTAAGGAAGGCATTAATCCAGGGCTGCAGCAAACCAGATTGTTGCAGTCACATTCTCTTGTGGTTTTTTTAACCTCCTGTTGTGGAGTCAAATTTGATTCACAAAAATTCTGTACCACATTGTAGCTCAATCAGATGTGCTCTGTAGCTAAATCAGTTTTAAAATGTCGTTTATATACTGCTCTAGCCTTCAAGGCTTGGAAAGTTTTCAAAATCTGAATCTTGTAAAGGCCCCTCACATTTTAGAAAGGGCATTTTGAGCCTTAGTTATTTCCATAGTCAGGCACTGAAATCAGTACAGAAGCAAGTAACAAATTTCTGTTCTAGCAGTTACTGCTAGCTGGAGGCAGTAGATAAAAGTATTTTGTAATTCATAGTGCTCAGTACATTGTAGTAGTAGGTCTGTAGGCTCTCAAGATTTTTTTTTTAAGATGAAAAGATCAACATTTGAGAGGAATCATTGAGAGCAGGTGACATTCTTAAAATGGTGAACTTTGTTTTCAGCTGTGACTGAACCACAGCCATGTTCTGTGAATTACTGTATTTCCTCAAGGCTATAGAATGATAGTTTTGTTCAGAGAATTTCATTGCTTTTCAGGAAGTTAGCATAATATGCTTGCTGATCTTTTGTTCTATGCCTACGTTCTTTAGTCTATAGAAGACTCGACGGCACAGTTGAATGTTGTAGTAACAACAGCCTCACCGACATTTGCTTTTCATACAGCAATAACTTGGACAGCCCCTTGGTAAGTTGCTTACGCTGATAATTCTGTTTGGTAAATCTGAAATTGTTAAAATGAAATGAAATTAGTAATACTTAACAACATTATGCAGCATACTTAAGTAGTTAAGAATACCTAAAGCGTTTTATAAAAGTGCATGAATATATTATGTTCCCCATCTACAGCTAATAAAACCAAATTGTGGTTATGATTTTTTTTTTCACATGATCACACAGACTGTGTAAAGACAGAAGGACATTCACACTCCTTTTTTTCTCTTATTTTCTTCCATCTTTTAACACAGAATATATGAGTTTTTTTAATAAAAAAGCAAGAAGGTGAAATTGCTTCTTCCTTTAAAATATTGGAGTGTCCGTTAAAAATAAGATACCCACTTTGACAGCAATGGAATATTTCTGGCAGTTCTCTATACAGAGACAATGAGCAAAGTAGCAGTTGTTTAAACTTTTTACACATGGCTATTTGTTACTCTTCTGACCTGGAGTGATAGATATCTCAAGAAATAGAAAAGAAGTCTGTTCCCAAATCTGCCGCGTTTACAATTTCTCTCCTATTGGACTTTCCAGTCCAGTGTGTTTTTTGTGGTATCCAACTACTGAGAACTGGGCACAGACCAACAGCTCATTGAAAATATGACGGTGGTTGGTTATATCACTGAGTTCAGCAGGATTTGATAAATCACTGCCCCACAGAGCTTGGCATTCTTGTGCACATAGCTGTTGCTTAGGAGCAGAGAAGAAATAAAAGCATCTAAAAGCCCGCCACCTTCAAGTTTCCTTAGAATGAATAGGAAGTTTTAAACAGTTATTTAAAATATTCTTTGTGGCGCTGTGGGACTGTATTTGAAAACATCCAAATGCCCCCTCCCCCTCATTACAATACAAAGAGCTGGTGTTGAGGTTAATGGAGAGTGACTGATGCACAAGCATCTGTGGAGAGGAATGGCCATTACTATCAGGCTTAACAAGCAAGGGCACTTCTTTTTTTTCCTTCCTTGTTTGTGTTGGAGAACAGAAGGAAAATTACCCCAGAGCTTTTTCAGGACACTTGAGATTAAAAAAAAAAAAAAAAAAGAAACAAAAAAAAAAACCCTTTTCTTTTCTGCTCTATTGTCTTTGGCCTGTCAGGAGCAAGAGAGATCAGGTCTTTCAGACTGCGGAGCGAAGGAGTGTTGTAGGTGACCCAGAATTGCATTAAGTGCTGTGTATGTCTAATTCAGAATAGTTTCTTAGCAACTGCACAGCCAGCCTAGATTGGTTGGGTTGTCTGCTGGATTTAAGATTTTGTTCAAACTTATGCTGTCCTATGTCAACAAGGTCTGAAACTTCTTAAGCAGATAACTCAGTAGTCTATTCATTAGAAATACTAACTTATGTTTAGATGCATAGCATCTCTTCAGCATTCCCCCAAAAGTGGAATGTCAGGCTGATCATGTATATTAATATATAAGGTAGAGGTTCTGCAGGGCACAGAAATCTGACAAAAATAAATTTAAAAAAAAAAAAAAAAAAGAGATTCTAGCTCTATGGCTTGGTAGTATGTTAGTGAAAGTCGTACTTTGCTGTAAATGTACATGCATGGTTTTTTTATGTAGTAACATAAGTAATGCTCTTTGCAGCATGCCTGTCTGCCAGCCCGAAAGGCGATTGAGGCCAGCCAAGTGTGTCGAACCAACACGGACTGCCAGAAGGACTTTGTTCCAAGCTTGTGTGTCACTCCTTCTTTAGAGAACCAGACAAGACTAATCAGGGTAAAACATCCACCTCATGTGGACATGCTGTTTGTAGGACACCCCATGCATCTCCAGTACACAGGTTTGTATTATTTCTTTAAAAATTCTGGGGGAAAAAATAAGAGTTTATGTACTATGCTTGGGCTGGATGTTTGAACAAGGTTTTGGAGTGCTCGTCGGGTAATTTGTTTAAAGCAGATAGACTTTATTAGTGTCTCCTACCAAATTGTAATTCTGCAGGAGAACCTAGTTTGTCTGGCTTTCAGAGATTGGCCAAGAATATTATTACATTCATTTAGAGAGGCAGTCTATTTTAAGAAGTTACTATGTGAATATACAACTTGCACAGTATATAAAGGACTATAGTTTTACTGTGATTTACTGTACCCTCGGAGCTGTGAACCTCATTGCAAACTCAACCTTAGAAAAACATTAGAGATGCAGTTATAGGATCTTCGGTAGCAGGTATTTGTCCCATTGTAGAGTTCCATGCATTCCACTGAGATGACTTGGAAACATTTCAGACTTACTGTCCAATGTGCAGTACTGCCTGGTTTCACCTTTATATACCATGAGTTCAGCTTCAAAAAGTGGGGATCTTCTATAGGTACTGAAACAGAATAATTTTCTGGCCTTGAGAGAAAAGACGTGTATAGCCAGGGTATGAATGTATACATGTGGACTGCATATGTTGAAGAAGTCTGGTAATGATAATCTCTTTTTAGATATTTTTATGGAAGTGGCTTAAGTTACTCGATATGATCCTTATGATAAAGATGTCCAGTTGCATCTGAAAGTGTGCATCTTAGATCTGCTTTTGCTGACATCGTGCTAATTCATACATCATATTAATACTAAAAATCTGATTTTTCTGCAAAACTATAAAATTCATGTTGTTATCCAGGAATTGACTATTCATTTTTTGTGTCTCTATATTTTCCTTTCAGTAAGTCTCAGCAGTTTTGTACCACGACATAACTTTCTAAGTATTGATCTGCCTGTGGTGATAGAGACGTTTTGCAAGTATCCTTTGAAGTGTATTTGTTCTTTTAAGACAAAAGAAAACTGTTTACAATTTGATTACCCAGCAAGATTTCAGTTGGATATGATTTTCGACAGGATGCTCTGAAACATATCCGTAGCTTTGTACATATTTACCCCATGCTGCAGTGATTATTTACCCCATGCTGCAGTGATTAATTTTCATGTGCCAAACTCAAAATGAAATGTCTAACTTCCTTATTTTTAAACAGGAAATGTTGGATTGTATTTTTCTTAACTCTTTCATGAAAGTGGATTTTAGTCAAAGCAATCCTGAATTTTGGCAAGATAAATGAGATGATGTTGCTAGCTTCCGTGTACTGGAACTAACTATATTAATACTGTTTGTTAGCCATTACCCTGAACTAAAGAACTTTTTAAGGAAAAATTATCATATTCAAAAAGTAATATGATAATGTCTAAAATATGGATATTAGTCTGTATTAACGACTAAGATTGTACACACACACACATACACACACAAAGGATAATGAGCATTGGGTACAGTTAGTCTAAGAACTCTTAGCCTTAGAAACTGAAATGTTAATGGGTAGTTAAGAACAATTGAACAGGGTAGTTTAGATTTGTCCATGAAGCACAAAAGGTGATACACAAGTTCCTGTTTTGATTGTTTGATGTTTTCTTGGATGTTACTCATGAACCTTAACTTATTTCAATCAGGTACCTAATTTCGCTGTCGGGAGCACTGGCAGTTATCAATGCTGTACCCTGCTTTGCGTTGGATGGTCAGTGGATATTAAATTCATTCCTGGAAGCTACTCTGAGCTCACTGATTGTGGAAAAGCAAAACAGGGAGCTTGTTGGCTTTTTAATTTTACTTGCTGGCAGTGCACTTTTGGCTGCCAATGTTGCACTAGGACTTTGGATGGTAACAGCACGGTAGGACATTGAAATGGCTTCGATCAGTTATTGAAGTACACAAGAGTGGTGGAGCTATTGCCTTTCAAAACTTGGTCAGTACTGAAATTGAAGTAATTCCCTTAAAATGCCACTGGAAGAACAATCACTTGTGGCTGCTGTTTTAACTTAAATCTGTACAACGTTGTGCCTGTGATCATGGAAAGAAATGAAAGAAACAAGTAAGGACCTTTTTCAATACTCTTTAAAACATGGTACTAATTTTGGACAAATTGTGTTGTAAAACTTCATAGGAAAAAGCCTAAAGCTTCATTAATCTAGATTCCAAAATAAGGAAATTATTTGGCCTCAAACACTTGTAAAGTGGAAGGGGGAAAGCAGTTTTCTTTTGCAGTCTGAATAATTGTCAAGTAGTCTTTGTGGGATATGATCATTTTACCAGTCACCATAGTCTTGAGTGTCTTGTTTTATTTTTCAATCTAGTGATCTACCAAATATGACTCTAAGAAACCATAAAGTCTGAGCTCGTCCTAAAATGGTGAAAAGCTGAGTAAATGATAAGCATGTGTTAATGAGAAGAGAGGCACCATATGGGTTAGTATCTTTCCAGCTGGCCAATATGACTGGAAGGACGTGGTCCTCAGGATGTAGATGGGAAGGGACAATGCCAGTTAAGAATGGGGTTATGTGGAGGATAACGAAGCCTCCAGGTCTGTGTTTCTTAAGCATTCAGTGGTGTAAAACCATGTGCAGCTGAAGATTTTATAAGGCAATATTTTTCAGCAATAGCTAGAAAATAATCCGAAATTATAGTTTATGTGTACTGAAGCATTCTGTACAAAATTATTCCTAATGATAAATGATCTTTGTGAGTTTTTTATTTATATTTTATTCAGAAGGTGATACTTTTTGCCGTTAATGGTGTAAACTGTTGTTTTTTTCTTGTCCATCTTTGGCTGCTATTCATGCAATACAGTTGATGTACAGTAACTCTGTCTTTCAAAGAGTTGTTTTTCTTTGTTAGCATTCATTCTAATTGAAGATGTTTAGTTAAAGGTTTCCTTGTATCAGAACTGGTTATATATATGTATTAGGAAAATTTTGAAAAATACTTAGCAGCTTCCATGTTCCCAGTGTTCCCAGACGGAGCTGCTCCAGTTCAGAGTCGTTTAGAAGAAATGCCCTTTTCATCCAGGAACTTATGCGGAAGCTGAGCCTCCAAAGAGTGGTCTGCAAAGAGCCGTGAAACACTCGCAAAAGATTCTCTTGGCACTTGGGGTAAAAACCTGCATAATTTTACCGGCAGGGTTCAGCCCTCTTCCTGCTGCTGCTGCATGGACTCGCAACTTTCATGTTTGCATATGTCCATGATTTTTGCACAGTAGCCTTCACATCTAGAATGACTATAAAATGATGGTACCTTGGTTTAGGAACTGTTTTTATTAAGATGTTATAAGTAGGAATGAGAGAATATGTTTGTTTATTTATTGTTTTATTAGTTTATTATCTCTCTAGGGCTGTCACAGCTTTGGCCTCCTTCCTGAAGTTCACTGATGTGGGGTAGCAGCCCCTTGCCTCTGATTTTCAGTCAGCCAACCTGGGCATGCCAGCACATGCCAGATCCTGGTAATGGAGAGCAAGTCATCCAGTGAGTCTAGTGTGAGTCAGTCTGTATGGGGTTGAGAGGGAGAAGCAAGAAAGGAAAATCAAACTACCAGGAAATGCCAGAAGGCTTCTCTTTCTTCAGGAAACATCTGACAAGTCTAATTCATCATTTATACAATAAACTTAGCAGAAGTTTCCAAATCACAGTTCTCATGTGCCATTCTTCCAGCCTTCTGTGGACCTGGGTGACCTGAGCTGCGTGGCTCCTACGTGAGGCCCAGCTCTGGAAGTCTCTTCACTCACCTAAGTGGCTGCTCTCTAATCTGATCTCGTCCTTTTTCAGGGCTTTGTGCCACTTGCTTCTGTCTCCATGTCCTGTCCAACCTACACTGCATAGAATTAACTTTAATTTAGGAGGCTTAATGCCATTTAGTAAGACAATATATTGACATTTCAAAAAGGCTGCCACTGTTTACATATCGTAGAGTTGCAGTCTTTTTCATCTAACACAACAAAACATGTATCTGATGATTTCAAAAGCATTCTGTGAATAACATTTAAAGTTTAATACATTCTATATTCAGACTGACTCCTGTTGCATGGGACAATCTCTTCAGCGTAATATTTTCTTTGGAGGTGTAGGCAAGATATTTAAAATTTTTCTTTGGAATAACGTAGACAAGTTCTGTCTGCTATAATGAGTCTGGCAGGCTATTCCTGGCTATTTAATGTTCTACCAGAACCTCATGTCTTACCAAAGGAAAATAAATACAGTTTCTTTAAGTAATCAGTTAAGACCAAACTTGTACTAAGCACGATGTCAGCCTGTATTTGACATTATAATTAGACCGAGACTGGAGAACACAGTGGTGGTGGTTTTAGCAAAACAGACTAGTACACTTTAAAGACCCTGGTTAACTTTCATGGGACAGATTAGTATTATAAGTATTAAAAGAGAATTCATGCATCTGTTCCTGAATGTGCTGAATTTCTACTGAACAAGGTTAGATTTAGGCATGTACAGGTCCCCTGAATCAAAGCTTTAAGTAAATTACAAACACTTGGTGCTTTTTTTTTTCAGAAGGACACTCAGTGTGTATTTTAGGTTACCTGGACCTGTTCCTAAAGAAAAAGCTTTTCAGTGGATCTGTTCTATCCTTTCATCCTAACCTATTTATTACGTGCTGATAAGTGCCGTTTTGACTGTTTTTGACAAAAAGCCTTTGAGAGGCTTTTTTTTTGCTTTTTTTTTGTTTATTTGCTTATTTAGCACCAGAGAACAAGAGAAGGATGTAGAATGTTTTTTGTATGTTGGATTTTTACTCTGAAATATTTTCAATGTTCATTTTATTTTTTGTAAAAATTATATGTCTTTAAAATGAAACCTTTTCACTTCTTATTCTAATTAGCCCTCAGAATATAATTATTATTTAATAGAGACTCCATCAATGTAATTATAAGGCATATTGAGTGGAGTGCAAAACAGAACATTCTTAGAGTTACTATTTTTATATATTCCGTGCATTTTAAATACGTCTATGAGAGATGAGAAAAGTAACGCCTAACATTGGGAGGCAGCATATGTAGCTTTCACTTGAAAATGGTTAGAAGATTTCCATACTTGTAAATGATCATTATTCTGAGTCCCTTTTTTGTAAGCGGTTCACTTTTTTTTCTGTCAAACACTTTCATAGCATATTTCATAGCAGAGCAAAATGAAAATTCTTAGGAGTTAGGTTCTTACATACTTTTTTTCTAATTCAGTGATTAAATCTGTCTTATTTCCTTGTAAAATGAAAGAGACTTCACTGGAAGGATTATAAATGACCCTTGTAGATTAGATATTCCAAATTTAGATGGCTGAGTAGAAAATCAGTTAACTCTTCCTTTTTAATTATAGTGAAACAACCAATTGCATTGACAATTATATTTTAACTTGATGATCCTGTATGTATATATGTGTGTATGCATATATGTCTGTGTGTATACAAACAGTCTACATTGCTGCTTTTCTTGGGAAAACTTAGACCAATCCTCCATATTCTGTAATATAGGAGATTTTTTTTCCCCTATATATACATTCTGTGGCTTTCTCTGGAATTTTAAAATTGCACAGTTGTTCTCATTACTGATCCGTAGAAGTTTTTTTACTGGAACTGATGGACATAAAATTAATGCAGCTGTAGTCATACTCAGCTAAAGTTGAAAATACCCTACTGTCTATGAGACTTCAGGTGTAAGGATGCTAAACACAGATTTTTATAGTGATTAAAGGCGATCAACCTTAGAATCTATCACTGTCCAGTCCTCCTGTTTGTGCCGTTCTGAATGATAACTGAGATGTGTGAGACTGAGGGGAATGCACTGAAGAAAATAATGCTTTCAGCACGGACCTTCCCACAGCAGTGTCAGCTTTCTTGACTACCTTGTTAAAGGTTATGCTTTTGTTCAGTTTAAACAGTCAGTGTTTCAAATATCACAGGAGATTCTGTGCATTACAAGGCCACAGATGCCTTGTAATGAAAACATAACAACATCAGCATATCATCTATCAGAATTTGTAACTGGATGTATTCCATGACAGTTAAAGAAGGGATATAAAGGATTAGGTAGCCTAGTCTATATTTGTTTGAAAAACTGTGATTATGGCTATAGAGATTAATGGTTATTGTAAAACATGTGTTCTGTACACCAGCATTCAGACCAATTCCCACAGTCAATCTTTTCCCAGTTTTCTTCTGGTGACCTTGTGATTAAAGAAACTGAATCTTAACTCAGGTAACATCTAACATTTGCAATTATTTTATACCCTTTTTATCCTGGACAGCATGTAATGCCACATATAGATTTGTAACTTCATGTGGCTGAGTTGTCTGTGGTACTTATCCTGTACTAATGAAGTATTTGGGACCTGTCACGTTAGGCACTGGCAGAAACCAGCAGCTCTGTGACTGTCTTATGCCTTGGACACATCCGCTACCACCCGGTGAAGAACCTTCACACTGCTGACCCCATGTGAAAGAGCAGGGACAAAGCAGGATATGACGCTGCAACTCCATTCATTCCATTTATATCGACATGAAATGTGAAAAGAACTTGTAATTAACATTTCAGAGCTTGCAGATAAGTTCTCATACACTTTCCAAAATCATCCAGTGATTGGTGCTCAGACTTCTTCATTTTGCTGTTCCATAGATGTACATGTACTGGTTTGGGTTGTCGTAACTTGTCCAGTAACATGGGATCTTTCCCACCTCTAGCTGCTCGCTCCTGGGTTTGTTCTTGCAGCATCACATTGTAATTGACCTTCACTTAGTATTTGTTTGAATATTTAAACAATATTAACCAACCATCACCAGAGAAATCCAATTTCTTCCTTCCCATGTTTTCTGATAATGTTTGTAATACCTCTTTTCTTACATAGCTTTTTTTTTTAGATATCAGATGATCTTTAATGGAGTTTGTATTGTTTTGAAATTCAGTGGTGTTTTCCCCTGCCTAGCCCTTTTTTTTTTTTTTTTTTTCCCACTGACTCACAGCTGTGGAATGTCAGAATTCTAGACCCTTTGTTCCCACTCTGCATTGTTCAGGATCACGTTAAAAAAAAGCTTCATTTGGAAAATGTCAACTAATGAATATATGGAGCATTTTGAATAATGTATTGTGTTTTTTTGTCGTATTTTTTTCTCACGCTATTTTATCAACAAACAATAAGTATTGTTTTCTATGTGTAAGTGTATCCTGCAAATAAATTCATTGTTTGATTGTCACCGTGCTTGAATCTGTTCTTAAAACTGAGGTAAAAATGCTACACTTCCTTATTTGCATCATTTGCTATATTCTTAAAAGGAATGATTTTATATTCTCTATGTAACTACCTACAAGATTCTCTGCATCATTATTAGTATCTGACCACCTTCTGAAATTCAAATAAATATCAATTTACTTTCCCTTGTAATCTTTACCCTACCTACCATAGTAATCATTTGATTTATAGTGGGCCTATATAGTGGCCTATAGCGACCAGGGACAGGACAAGGGGTAATGGGCGCAAGTTGCAACACAGACAGTTCCGTCTCCAGGTGAGGAGGAACTTCTTTCCTGTGAGGTTGCCAGAGCCCTGGCACAGGCTGCCCAGGGAGGCTGTGGAGTCTCCTTCTCTGAAGGTCTTCCAAACCCGCCTGGATGCCGCCCTGTGCCCCGTGCTCTGGGTGTCCCTGCTGGAGCAGGGGGTTGGACTAGATGGTCTCTAGAGGTCCCTTCCAACCTCAACCCCTCAGTGATTCTGTGAACTGGGCATCAGTGTGCCTAGACAGACACATGTAATTCCTAGGCAAAAGTAACATAATTTTAGCGTACGGCATGTAGTGATTATCCTATAGAAGCAATTCCCTTTGCCTCAGCCTGGCTTCTGCGTGGCTCTTCTCCCTTGGGGCTTCTGTTAGTTTATTTGTAGTGAAACATTTGAAATATGTTTCGTTGAACATCACTAAGGTGATGTTATGTAGAGCAACATTTGTTTTCCATATGCAGAAGTCAGCACAGTGCTGGCCACATAGCTGGCGTTACAGAAGGTTAGCTTAGGTATCCAGATGCAGTCTGGGACTGCATTAGCATGCTGTAACCAAAGCGTTTCTCCTCACTTGAAAATGAAGCTTTATTGCTCTGTTTCTCGAGCAAGCTCATCCGGAGCTGGCCAGGTTGTTTGTTACTAAGAGCTAAACTGTCCCCTGTTGCTCATCGGGCAGGCTGTGCTTTGATGCAAGATGGCCTTGTTCGCAGATAGAAGAGCACTGTGAGAAGAAGAGATGAAACATAGATCACAAGCACTTTGGTAGGATCATCCAGATAGGCAGTCATGCTGTTTTCTGAATACTTGCATGGGGAGATGGCTTTTTTATCAGCGATTTTTGCTGATATGAGTGATTTATTGATTGCAGTGAATTATTGCTGGTAACTTTATAAATAAGGGTTAATGTATTTCTTTGTTTGATCATGACAGAAAGATAGGATTGCTAAGCAGAAGTATTCCAAGACTCCTAGATCTATAGATTTTGAATTCACAGTCTTGAGTTTTTTTCACATGTAATTAATGTTTTCCTTCAATATTTGTGCATTTTTTTGTTCATTATTCTACATACGTACTTTGGAGGGAGATATTTAGCGACTTTTTAAGGAATAAGCTGCCGAGTCTTCTATGTGATTAGGACATGGATATTGGTTCCTAAAAGCTCCTTTAAACATCACAGTATGGATGACCTGGAAAGTCATCCTCTATTCAATATGCTCATGCTAATTTAGGGAGTTACTTGGTGTTCTGTAGAAAAGCAAACTATTGTGTAAAGCTGTCTCTGTGACAATGTTTTAATGCGAGCTTCTGATGTGAAATACCCAATAAAAGACAAGGTTTTGCTCTAATCAATCATGGTCAAGTGGGGGAATCCAAAACATTCACCAGGTCTAAGAACACAGTCACCCCAGCTTTTATTAAGAAAGTTTTTTTTTAATCTCAAAGATGTGGGTCTGGCTTTAGGGTCTGTGCTTTAAATAGGATTGGACAATCTAACCAGTTATATGTCTTTTTCTCTAGATTTCTAGATTTCTGACTAATTCTCAGCCTCTACCTTTAAATTTCTTTTTTTGGGAATAGAGTGGTGGTTGAATACCGTGTACTCACCATTTCTGAGTCTTGAAAGTACATGGTTGTAGATCCTTTTC